GAGGTCCAATCTGAGCCCCATGGGACGTCACTCTGATGGGCCCCCCTGCAGCCCTCGAAGGTTGGCCCTTCTAGGGCTCATTTGGGCGCCAAGAAAAGTCAATACGGGCCCCAGGAGGGCTCCAAGAAGGCCCCAAGAGGGCCCTAAGAGTGGCCCAAAGAGACACCAAGAAGACCCCCAAAGCGCACCCTTCCCCTAAGGATGTTTTCAGCATTCCTATGGATTCGCAAATATTCCTAAGGATTCCTGACGGAATCCGGGGGGATCCTGATCCTAAGGATCCTAAGGGATCCCAAGGACCCCAAGGAATCCTAAGGATCCTAAGGAGTCCTAAGGAACCCTAAGGCATCGATGTACTTCTGAAGAAGAAAGAAATACTTCTGAAGAAGAAAGAATTATTTCTGAATTACTCACTGCGTGGAGCTCCCCAAATGTGCATCTCATGTTTTATGTCATGCCGTGGCGAGCGTCTGTTCATGAGCGGTCGACTACAATAGCGCGTCCACAAGGGCGACGGGGCCGACGAAGACGAGTGACCCCTAATGCGAGCGATTGCGTACGAGTCAGAGTGAGCTTTGAGTATGGTTGAATGCGAGCCTCTTCCTCTTTATCCCCCCTCCTCAGCTGCCAGGCCGTCCCCTTTTCAGCCCGTGGTAGCTTTGGAGCTTCCCACATGTGCATATGTTGTAGGATAGTTGGCAGTGGGAAGTGTAAGACGAGCGTTTAGCCGCACAAGGCCAGAAGTGTATGTCATGTTGGAGGATGGTGCCACGGTGAGCATTTATCTATGATAGTTGTTTGCTCCACGAGCGCGTCCCTGTGAGCGGCGAGCACACGCGCGCGCAGCGCGGCTGCACATCCACCGCGTGCATGCATTCATTCACGTGCATATGCCCGCGCATCTTTTTTGTCAAGGCAAAGATTTCCCTCGGCGCCGCGTCCGAAGCACCATGGGGAGCACGAGTGACAAGTGCTTCAAACGGCACCCCGCGACCTGTACCCCAGCTTTAACCGTCCGCACTTCGCATCGGGTCTCAACCTCGGGCGCAAACATGTTTTGCAAAAGTCAACGCCCGCGCCGTTCACACTGGGTTACACTAGGTTTCGAGCGCCCGCATGGACAAAATACTCCATGCTAATGGAAACCAGAGTGAGTTCAAACATGTCAATGCCAACGCCGTCCATACTGGGCTTCCGCCGGCGGCATTGGATATGCGCTACATGTACATGGAAGCGCAAGGAGAAAACTAATGCCATCGGGCAGCCGCCTGAGACATCCCAACAAAATGGCCGCGAACGAGCCCGTGCAAACACCCCTGGCGGCTCCCCTTAGGGGTGCTGAAACCAGCGCCCCGCCTGAGACATCCTCACAATCTGCTCTCCAAGCGAAGGATGTTGGGCCCAGAAACAAGCAAACCGCCTGAGACATCCCCACAAAATGGCCGCGAACGAGCCCGTGCAAACACCCCTGGCGGCTCCCCTTAGGGGTGCTGAAACCAGCGCCCCGCCTGAGATATCCTCACACTCTGCTCTCCAAGCGAAGGATGTTCAGCCCAGAAACAAGCAAACCGCTGAGACATCCCAACAAAATGGCCGCGAACGAGCCCGTGCAAACACCCCTGGCGGCTCCCCTTAGGGGTGCTGAAACCAGCGCCCTGCCTGAGACATCCTCACAATCTGCTCTCCAAGCGAAGGATGTTCAGCCCAGAAACAAGCAAACCGCTTGAGACATCCCGACAAAATGGCCGCGAACGAGCCCGTGCAAACACCCCAGGCGTCTCCCCTTTAGGGGTGCTGAAACCAGCGCCCCGCTCGAGACATCCTCCAAATCTGATGTGTGTTGAGTAAAGTCTGAATATGAGTAGGTTTGAGTATGAGCATGCCTGAATATGAGTAAGTCTGTGTATGAGTAAGTTTGTGTATGAGTAATTCTGGGTATGAGTAGGTCTGTGTATGAGAAAGTCTGTGTGTGTGTACGTATGGGTATGAGTAAGTCTGAGTATGACTAATAGTGTGTATGAGTATGTCAGGGTATGAGTGGGTCTGTGTATGAGTACGTCTGGGTGTGAGTAAGTCTGTGTATGAGTAAATCTGTGTATGAGTATGTCTGAGTGTGAGTAAGTCTGAGTATGAGTAGGTTTGAGTATGAGTAAGTCTGAGTATGAGTAAGTGTGTGTATGCGTAAGTCTGAGTATGATCAAGTCTGAGTATGAGTAGATCCGACAGAAGGGGAGGAGGAAAGAGGAGGAGGGATAATGAGAGGGAGTAGAAGGCGTCCAAGTAATAACAATAACCCCATCTTAGGATATGGGGAATAAGAAAGAAATACTTTTGAATCTCCCATGGTTGTAATTGGTCCCATGTGTTGTTGCAATTCGCTCCGAACGGTTGGAATTGGGACCAGTCGGTTGTAATTCGTCCCATTTCGGGGGAGGGGCGGGGGGAGGAGGAAGGAGGGGGGTTTTGGGAGAGGGAGGAGGGGGAGGGGAGAGAGGCCAGCCAGAGAAACGCGAGGAGCCACAACCACAGATGGGCCCTCCTCCTCCTCCTCCTCCTCCTCCTCCTCCTCTTCCTCCGCCTCCTCGCGATCCGTCTGGTCCCTATGGGCCGCCAGGCATAGCAGAAAACCGAAACCCCGACACAAACTGAATCCATAGTTTCTCTGATCTGGTGAGGTAACCCTGGCGTCCCGGTGACTTGCACGTCGACCAGTTCCAGCTAGCATGCTCGCATGTTCGTGGCCCCTGGCCCCCAGACGCTGCCACAGCCTGGCCGTGTTTGCAGCTGCCGCCTTGCAGTGGTGGGGTGCGCGTCCGCGTGGATTGCTCATGAGTGGTTTAGCCTTCTTGTTTAACTACCTGAGGTTGCCGCTTGTGGCATGCGACACAGGTGCGCTGGGCTGCTTGCTTGCCGTGCTTTGCTCGGGTGGCTCGTTTACCTCTGGCGCCTGTCGCGACAAGGTACAATTCGTTTGTTTTCCCGGTGGTCTCGCCCCTGGAGCGGTTGCACCTCAGCCGCCTGGCACACCTGACACCTTTTGCAGCTTTGCCTTCAGTTTCGGCGGCCGTTAGATCGCGCGCTCAGGTAATTAGGTTTGGCTCGTAGCCCGGGCTGACTTCGGACGCCGCCTGCGCTTCCGCTTGCGGCCGCGACGGAAACATATCCCCACCAGGCGCTGTTCAATTCGCTGTTTGTTCCTTCGCTGCGGCGCGATCCGCCTTAGCGCGCTCGGCGTTCGACTTAGCTTTGCACGCACGCGCACCAAAAAAAAACCCATGAGGGTTGACGGGGGGGGGGAGGGAGGAAGAGACACGCGCAGTCAAACAACGAGGCATCCTGGTGAGGTTCCGTGGCCATATTGAGCCGTCTTGGAGCGGTCTTGGGGCCTCTTGGGGCAGCTTGGGACCATCTTCAGTCAGCTTGGACTATCTTGAGCCATGTTGGTGGTCACCTTGGGTTTTCTGAGGCCGCTTGAGGGGCATTCGGGGGCCTCTTGGAGCCCTTTTGGTGCTTTAGTGGAAAACCTGTTGGGGCCTCTGGGGAACCCCGGAGGTTTTTTTTGGCCATCTTGGAGGCGGCCAGTTAAAAGAGGACGGGTATTCGATTTAGGTCCCCCCCATCGGGGGCCACGGTCCTCCCAGGGGTCGAGAAAAGGGAGCCTCCGACACCTCGTGACCCCCCTTCACACAAAACTTCATTTAGGGGAGGGGGGGTCACCCCCCGAAGGGAAGAGGGGTCGCGGAAGAGGAAACATACCCTCTTTAGACCAATTGTCGCCCAAAGGGCTGGTGGTTTTGTCTGTGAAGGGGCCTCCCTGGCCCAAGTCAAGATTCAGAGAGACAGTTGCCCAGTGGCCGTTGAAAGTATTTATTTTTTGATGCCCAGATTCTAATCTTCTTGTTCCCAATCTACTTCAAGTGCCTTACGAATCGGTATGTTTTTGCTGTTCTGGCGGGCCCGAGCCGAGTCTAATTGTTCCGCCTTCCTACCCGAGCCAAGTCGCGCACCAAAGGTCACTCCTGCCCAGAATCGTTCTTTCGTGTAGCCGAGGCCCGCGCACAGTTCCGCGGACGAGGGCGGACCCTCCATGGGCGACCCTTCCTGCGCCGCCCCGTGGCGCGCTGTGGTGCGCCTGGGGCGGGGGGGGGCGGGGGGGCAAAAAGGCCGCGTTCCGTGCGCAGGTCTGCCAAGGCAGGGCCCCCGCCAGTCGTCGAGCAGTGGCGAGACTTCCGAGCGTGGTAGGCCCACCAGGGAAGTTCTAGAAATCTTCTTTGTGGGTTGCGCGGCACGTTCTTAGAACATGCTTGGCTGGGACGGTCTTGTTGTATCGCATTGGCCTCATGTTCTAAGAGCATCGTTTTCGTTATTGGAACATGCTTGGGTTCTAAGAACATGTCGTGCCCTGTTGGAAGAGGTGGCTGGGGGGGAAGATGCGGCATGACACGGCACGTGCTCCAGTGAGGCTAAAGTCACGCGGCATACGGAGATTACTCGGAGCCCCCCCTCATCGCAGAGTGCGGCTGCCCCGACGGGCACGTGCCAGGGGCTGAGCACACAGCAGCGGTGCCTCCAGCGCCTCCCCTGGCGCGCTCCGCGCGCCAGGGAGGGGATTCCAGCGCAGATCCAAGAAGTCCGCGCGGGCCTCCGTAACTTCATGTTCATGCCGTTGGTGTCTTCCTCTGTTCGCCGACAGTTGCGGAGGCCTCACGGCCGATGCCGCCGATCTCGAAGGGAGGACGACGACGACGACGACGACGCCGACGACGCCGACGCCGACGCCGACGCCGACGCCGACGCCGACGCCGACGCCGACGACGACGACGACGACAACGACGACGGCGGCAGCGGCGGCGGCGGCAAGACGACGACGACGACGACGACGGCGGCGGCGGCGGCGACGGCAAAGACGACGCTGACGTGGGCCAGAGTCCTGTGCTAGCCGGCAACTATCCCGTCCTGCTGCCCGCCGCTCGCAGCGGCACCCCCTCGCGCTGCGAGAGGCCCTCTGGTGGTGGACGCAGCACGTGGCTCGGCGCTCGGGCGGTCGGGCGGGGGAGGGGCGGGCCGGGCGATGGAGGCCGCGAGGGGGAGGGGGGCGTGCAGTGGCGAGGCGTCCTGACCTGCCCATGGGCCGGCCAGGTGGGCGTTTTTTGATTTTCTGTTCTCCCACGGCAGCGCGCGTTACCTGGGTCAACCCCCCCTTCCCAACCCCCTGGACAGGGGAGGGCGGCCGAGCGAGGGAGGGCGCGGGGGGATGCAGTGGCGAGGTGTCCTGATCGACCGGGTGGGCGTTTGTTTTCCCAGGGTAAAGCACGTTCTCTGGGCCACACCCCCTCTGCCCCCCACGGGTAACGACTGCGATCGTACTTGGGGGGGGCGGGGGCTGAATCCTGCCCCCCGGGGGGCTGGCCTGGACCCCCCCTACATTATGCTGTGGTGTGTGCAGGCGATTGATGCGCCAGTGGCGCGAACCCACCCTGGCGGGTGCATGCCGCGGCCGCCGATACCATTACCCTCCCGCCCGCCCCCCCCCCGTAACGACCATTACTGCGACAGAAAAACGGTCTCAGAATCTGTTGTGTTTTGCACGTAGAGCCCTTTTTTCCTGAGACAGACCGTTGTTGTGCTGTTCCGTCAGTTCGGTGTTACCAGGACCATCCTTCTTTGTGCAATACCATAATTCTTTGTTCTGGGAGCACCCGTGGAAGGCCTATAGGAACTGGCGCTGTCGGTTTCAGCTCAAGGGGGGGGCAGTCGGGAGGATTTGTTGTTGGTGTCGAACTTGGTTCGCGTTGGTGTCTGACTCGAGGATGAAACTCTTGTGTTGTGAATGGTGAAGAGACGGGGACCCGAGAAGCGGGAAAAAGGGAAGAGAGTGTCGAGGAAGAACGGAGCAGGATGATTAGCAGTGAGGTGGAGGAAGGAGGATGAGGACGAAGATGCAGATGAGGTGGATGAGGAGGGAAGGAGGAGGGAGGAGGGTAAGCAGGAGGTAAGATCAATTTAGGGAGACAGAAGAGCAGCATGAGTAGTTTGTGGTGTCTTGACGCATGCTTTGAACGAGAAGGAGGGGGAGGCGGAGGAGGAGGAGGAGGAAGAGGACGAGGAGGAGGAGGAGGCGGAGGAGGAGGAGGAGGAGGAGTGGGTGCCGTCTGAGTGCCTTCATGTAGCTTCGATCGGATCGCGCGGCAACGCCTCTCCCTGTTCCCACATCTCCCTGTTTCTGCTTCCTACTCCCTCCACTCCTCCTTCCTCCCTCGGTCCCTGGTCCCACCATCATTCTTGCTTTGTGCCACCCCTCCATCCTCCTCTCCACCCGCCTACTCCTCTCTGTCCATCGACCCCCTCCCTTCCGCCCCTCCGCCCGCCCTCTCCCCCTCCCTCTTCCTCCCCCCTCCCTCCCCCCTCCCTTCCATTCCCCCTCCCTCTCCTTCCCCCTCGCCTTCTCCTTTCCCTCCCTCCTCCCTCCGCCCTCCCTCCCTCCTCTGCCCCTTCTTCCTCTTCCCCCCACATTCCAGAAGCCCAACTTCCCCTCGTCTAGCGCTTTCCTCTCCTCACCTCCTTTTCCTTCGCCCATCCCTTCCTCCACGCTCCTCCCTCCTCACCCCGCTTCCTCCCTCCTCCATTTGCACCCTTTTCTCCTCCCGCCCGCGCTCCTGAAGGCCTCCCCCCTCTTCTCCTCGAGGTCCCCCGCCTCCGCCCTGTTCTCCTCCCTTGCTCTCCCTTCTCCCCTCCCTCCTCGTCTTCTCTCCCGTCCTCCCTGCCTCCTTCACCCCCCTCCCTTCCTTCGTGCACTCGCAAGGCTTCCTCGCCCCAACCCGAGAGCACGGCAGCAGCTGGCCAGATTCGTTCTTTCCTCTGTGCGCGCGCTGCCGACGCCACGAGGCTCGCACCTCTCGGAGCCGCAGCACGGAGTGCGCCCACGGGTTCGCTCCTGCGAGCGCAGCGTCCCCGGTGTTCGGGCGGGCTGATTTGTTTTTCAGTCCCGGTGTTTTCTCTTCCTGTCGGTCTCTGGGGGCCGTTTTCGGGCCCCGGGGCCAGCACAACTGGATCCAGGGCGACCACTTGCTGCCCTTGGGGAAGTGCTCGCGACCTCGGATTCACAAGCCAGCCCACCAGATGTCTGGATCTCTCGATGCGTCTCCCCGTGGCCTTGGCCGTGGAGATCGCGTGAGCGAGACGCGGTCTCACACGGCGTGCGCAGAGAGACAGGCAAAAGTCTCCTCCCCCATCCCTTCTCCCTCGACTCTCGCTGCCTCTGCTCCCCGCGTTTCCACTCCAGCGCGCCACTCACGAGGATCGTGCCCCTTGTGCGCCTCGCGGGGGCACGATATCCCTACGCGCATAGCCGGGCAGCTCAGATTAGGCGCGCAGATCATGGAACGGGGCCGCGTCACTGCTTCCAGACCTCACAGTGCAGTCAACCCGCATAGTGCGGATGGGCAACCTTCTCAAGGTGCACCCCTGCATCCTTGCCTCCTCGCTCCATCCTTCGCCTCTTTCGTTGGCCGCACCCCGCCCGAAAGACTTCGAAGTGGACGCCCAGTGCCCTTTTCATCCTTATCGAGCATCCCTATACGGTTAAATCGGGCATGTACCTCTACAGGAGGAACATTCAAAAATAGTCGACAAGTAGTCTGGGGACGATGTTTTGAGCATTGATTAAAAACTGATTTGGAGTATTTTTTGAGTATTCTTATTTTTTCTGCCACAATCCGCCTGTAGGGGGACAGGCCCGACCTTACCTTATACGGTCCGACAGCAGCGGTTTTTTGCCGTACCGTGCGGAGCTGACGTCCGCCTTATCGCATAATTAAGCCTCGTGCCCGCCCGCCGATTTCTGTCCACGGGCCGACGGCCTGGCCCCGTCCGGCCGCACGACCGCCGCCCCGCCTTGCGCGGCCAGGGGCGCGCCCGAGGCGAGGCGGCCGAGGCGAGGCGGCGTGGAGTTGCGGGTCGGACAAGAGGTCCTCGATAAATGCAGTCTTGGGGGAAGCGTAGGGCTCGAGCAATGTCAGCTTGTGAGTAGCAACAGGCCAACCCCCCCGCCCCGGGGCTGATGGATAGACCCCGCGGGGCGCGATGCTTCATTTTTTTAAACCGCGCGCGCCAGGGGGAAGGAGGAGAGAGGAGGGGGAGGGGGGAGAAGGAGGAGAAGGAGGAGGAGGACGAAGAGGAGGAGGAGAGGAAGGAGGAGGAGGAGCAGGAGGAGGAGCAGGAGAAGGAGGAGGAGGAGGAGGAGGAGGAGGAGGAGGAGGTAGAGGAGGAGGAGGCAGAGGAGGAGGAGGAGGATGAGGAGGAGGAGTGTGAGGAGGAGGAGGACTACCCGCCTTGCTCGGTTCGGACGAAAAGCTGGGTAAGGAAAGAGAGGGTTGCAAAGCCTGCTGTGCGCAGCTGGTTTGGGTCGCCCCGCCGAAGGGCCAGTCCTCGATGCATGGCCGCTTTCGGCGCCACGAGGCGCTTGGAAAATCGGGGACGCGAGCTGCTTGGCAACTCCCTCCTTTGCTGCGCCCCACTTTCGTCCAGCCCGCCTTGCCCGCAAGCCCGCATCGGTTCGGCAGACATGGGCGCCCTGGTTTGCCCTTGCCTCAAAGTACCCTCCCTTGCCCCTCGTTGGCGGCCGGGCGTCGGCGCTAATCACCGGCGCCGCCCCGTTGATTTTCAATCTGGCGGGCGCCACCCCGATATTCGCCCGAGCAGGGGAACTATTGTTTAAAAACGCCCCCCCCCACGGATTTGTTAATCACGAGCAAACATTAAGCCGGAACTGTGGTTTGTCGACGTTTTTCAGCGAGCGCGTCCTGGATTCTGACGGTCCAGTTGTCGTGGGATGTTTGCAGAGGGACTTCGCGTCAAGTCGAGTCCCCCGTACCCGAGTCTTACGCCGCCCCGACAATCGTTGGATTACCATAAGGAACGCCGAACAAGAAATGTTGAAGAACTTGTCTGCCAACGGCGAGCCTCGGCCACGAAGGGGTTCCCCGACCCAACTCTAAGGTGGAATGGGTCCAGAACTGAAGCCCCTCCTGAGCCCAGGTGGTCCTTGTTTCGGCGTCTTGCCTGTTGGGGAAAAGGCGGGGGGCGTTACGAAATCTGCAGCACGTAGCAAAGGCATATTTGAAAATATGGAGAGTTTCAAGGAACATGGAATTCTAGAACATATGGAAACATATCGGGACTCCTTGGACGTGCTTGTGTTTTTTGTGTGTCCCTGGGCCTCTGTATTCGCGCTTCGCGTTTCGGCTCTGGCGTTTCCTCATCCTCCTCGTCTCCCATGGGGGGCGGCGCGAAATTTGGAGCCCGTGGAAGTTGGGTGGCCTGAAACCCGGTCCAGCGCACACTTTCCCTGAGGTCCGACGCCACGAAGAACACCTAACATCGCCCACAAGCGCGATCAGAGCCCTCGACCCGATCTTTCTGCTGCGTGTTTCGAGCCGGATGGGCCCCGGGGCCCGAAATTGGGAGAAATCGCCTGGTGTGAAAAAGATTGCAAGGCCGGCAGGATCTCAGTGTCGATCCGAGCCGATTTCCCGATTCAGTACTGGCCGGTCCTGCCCTGCCCTGGCAGCGAGGCCTTGTCCGAGGAGCAGAAGTGGCGCGCGCTTGGCCGCCTGAACGCCAAGTATGCGCCGCGGGTGTTCTGGCTGCTCGTCGACCTTGGTCGCAAGGGCGGGGGGTATGACATTGGCACGGCGGGGGAAGAGGCGAACCACCCACGATCCCAGGACCACGCCAACCAAAAAGGCCCCAGCGGGCCGTCGGGGCCGAGAGGCGCCAGGAAACCCCACCGAGCCCCCTTGGCATTGTTCGGACGTGTGTGCATTGTTTCCTCGGCGGGGACCTTCGAGGAGCCTCTTGACTCTTCTGGTGGAGCAAGAATCAGGAGGTGAAAATGCACACAGACACAATTATTCGTCGACGCCCAGGAAAGTATGGGAAGATATGGGAAGTGGTGGGGAAGACGAAAACCCAGAAAATATGGGAAAAGATGGGACTCCGTTTTTTCGTGTATTTACTGGTGTGCCCCAGGGCCACATCAAAAAGATCAGCGCACGACATCGAGGAGAGCACGGGGAAGGGACGCCCGAGCGACGGCGAGAGCCCCACAGGGGGCCGCGAGGAGCCGCGCGGGCGGCTCCACCTCTCGCACGGGGGGGGGGGGGCGCGCGACGGCCGCAGCCCCCCCCCGTGCGGGAGTCGGGGCGCTGGGCTCGTGGAGCCGCCGGGCGGCGGCGGAGGGCGTGCCCCAATCAAGCAGTGGCGAAGCGTCCTGGCTCGCCTATAGCTCTACCAAACAATGTTCTAAGGACCTTCTTTGGTTCCCACGAAATGTTCTTAGAACATTTCTGGCGGAGTCTGTCTTGTTTTAACACATCGGGCTTATGTTCTAAGAACGTTTTTTGTTCTTAGAACATGTTTGGGTTCTAAGAACATTTCGTGGTATGACTATCGGAATGCTGGGACGGTCGGTCCCTGCTCAACCCAGGGCCCGGGCAGCTCGGCAGCTCGGACCTGCCTCAATCAGTGGCGGAGCGTCCTAGTTTCGGAGGTGGATAGGCCTCCTGCCCTGACTCGTCGATTCGGGAATTGGCCGTTTTCGGTTCGCGAGAGGGCGTCGCGGCCGCCATTTCTGCGGGTCCATGTTCGTCGGTTTCGGTCCCAGGCCGTTTTCACTAAGGGGAGGTTTACGAAAGGGAGGTTTGTCCACCGCCGATAGTTCGCCTTTAGGCCGACCATGCAATGTTCTAAGAAGCTTTCGGGGTCTGCACGACATGTTCTTAGAACATTTCTGGCCGAGACTGGCTCGTTTTAGCACGTCGGGCTTAGGCTCTAAGGACATTGTTTCCGTTATTCGAAATTGCTGGGTTCTACGAAATTTCGTGGTATGCCTATAGGAATGACAGGACGGTCGGTCCCTGCTCAAGCCAGGGCCTGGGCGGCTCGGAGCCCGACCTGCCCGCGCGCACGCCTGGGCAGGAGGGGGTCGCCGAAGAAAATATCTTTATACACATGAACTTCTGGCGCTCCGAGCGGGTTTCTGGGATCCGTGCTGGACCACCCCCGGCGGCGCCTCCGGCACCGCCCCTGGCACGCTCCGCGCGCCAGGGAGGGGGGCGGCCAGCGCAGATCCAAGAAATCCGCGCGGAGCGCCAAAAGTTTATGATTATGGCAGTGTTTTTTCTTCTTCTTCTTCTTCTTCTTCTAAGGGAGGCTTGGCATCGCTGGGACGTGTGCATGTTCCTGTCTCCTCGGCGAGGACCATCGAGGATCATCCCAGATGATCTGTCAAAAGGAGCACGCACGACACCGAACATTGCACGGGGAATGGACGCCCGAGCGACGGCAAGGGGGGGGAAGGCTGAGTCCGAGGAGGAGGGCGGGTGTGGGACGTTGGGGGGATGATGTGGAGGAGAGGGAGGATGAGGAGGAGAAGCCTTCTCCGAGGGGAGGAGGCAGGGAGGGGGGGTGGGGAGGAGGATGTAGGAGGGGGGGTGTGGGTTGGAGATGGGGAGGACGCCGTTCTCGGCCTCGGGGATCCCCGGAAATCCTGGTAAAGGCGGTTGCCGGGGCCTGTCAAAATGTGTTCCACCTTACAGCTCCGAATTTCTCGGGGGTTCATGAGCTTTGGGGGCGCTCCACTACGTGCTGAAGGCATGGTGGCGGATGTGTGTGTGTACGCACATACGTTGATACAGACAGAAGCGTACATGCTTATACATCCGTATAACATATAAATATAAAATATACGGAAACTTCGTGCTTGTTTCCGTTCAGTAGGTCTTGTCTTGGAGTGTTCCCAGGTCGCCAGGCCGGTGCCGGGGGGGCATTGTTGCGGTATGGACGGATGCCGCACGAGGGGCCCGCGCGTCGAGACATTGGCAAAATGCTAAGGTGGTTCGGCCTACTCCGCATGAGACATCGTCGCAAGTCTGCGCTCTGAGATGACCAGATTTGAAATTGTCTGGCCCGTTTTGCTTGAAACATCCTCAGAACTTTGGGCGCCCTTACGCGAGTGGTGGTCCGGCCCATATCGCTTGAAACATCCTCAAATTTTTTGTACTGTGATCTGAGGTTGCCACTTGCGTTTTGCTTGAGACATGGTCGCTACGCTAGGCTTGAAGATGGCGCCCCTGAGGTTAATCGGTCAGTTTGGCCTTTGACGTTCCCGCAATTCTTGGCAAGGAGATGCCGCGTAAGAGGGGATCCAGACAGTTTCGCATGAGACGTCCCCGCAATTCCGAGCAACCGTTGAGGAGTGCAAAGCGAGGGAGGCGAAGGCGGAGCAGTAGTAGCAGGATGACTGAGGAAGAGGGGGAGGAAGGGTAATGCTTGCATTGCTGTCAGACAGGTACTATTGTTTTCAATGCTCTCGGGACACTTCTCGTCGCCAGGGCTGGATGCGGCTCGATCGTGCCTGGTGGTGCGGGCTGGTGCTCTGCCGACGAAGGGTGTGTCACGGGCCCGTTCGCGCACGGTCCGTTTGTTTTACTTGGTGGAGGTGTGCTGTGTGTTCGGAGCCGTATGGTCTTCGCTGGTCATCCTCGGAACCTCGGGGTTCCGAGATGCCCTGAGTTGATGTGCTCTGGCTCGATTCGCTTGAGACGTCCTCGCAACTCTGGGTTCCAAGATGTGGTTCGCGAGGTACTCAGGCCTGTTTTGCCTGAGACATCCTCAGAACCCCCCAGGCTTCGAGATGCCCTGAATTGAGGTGGTCTGGCCCGTTTCGCTGGAGACTTTCTCACAATTTTGGGTTCCAAGACGTGGTTCGCGAGGTAATCAGGCACTTTTCGCTTGAGACATCCTCGGAATCCCTGGCTCCAACCGTTTGGCCTGAGACGTCCTCGCCAGTACGTGTTGAAGATGCGATTCACGAGGTGCTCGGGCGCTTTTTGCTTGAGACATTCTTGGAACCCTGGGTTCCGAGATGCCTTGGCTTGAGATGCCCAGTTCCGATTCAGTTGATGTATCCTCATTACGTTGTTCGCCTGAGACATCTTCGGAACCCCAGGCTTCGAGATGCCCTGAATTTAGGTGCTCTGGCCCGTGTCGCTTGAGACGCCCTCACCATGTTTCGCTTGAGACATCTTCGGAATCCCTGGCTCTGACCGTTTGGGCCTGAGACGTCATCGCAAGTTTGGGTTGAAGATGCGGTTCATGAAATGTTCGGGCCCGTTTCGCTTGAGACATCCTCGGAACCCTGGGCTCCGAGGTGCCTAGACTTGAGATTTGACTTGAGGTTCTCTGGCCCGCTGGGCTTGAGACATCCTCGCAACTCACACCTCTGCGTTCTAAGATGCGGCTCGCGAGGTACTCTGGCCCGTTTCGCCTGAGACATTCTTAGGTTCCCAGATGTGGTTCGCGAGGGACTCAGGCCGTTTCGCCTGAGACATCCTCCGAACCCAGGGCTACTGCGAGATGCCCTGAATTGAGGTGCTCTGGCCCGTGTTGCTTGAGACGTTCTCACAAATGGGTTCCAAGACGTGGTCCGCGATGTGCTCAGGCCCGTTTCGCCTAAGACAGCCTCGGAATCCCTGGCTCCGAGATGCCATGCATGACCTCAAGTGAGCCCCCGGTACCGGGGGTTGGGGACTGATAGAAAGTGACAGAACAAAGATAAGTCGTCATCTATGCATGCATCTCAAAGAGGGGGGTCCCGAACGGTCTTGCATAGTCCCTGGAGGCGTGTTGAGTATGTTGCAGCCAAGGGGAGTCAGCAGGGACCCGTCCCTCGCGAGCCCCCCTCTGTTATCCGCAACGCTCTGGAATCTTTTGAGGGCTCGCGAGCCCCTCTCTCCTAGGCCGCACCTCCGGCAGGTGGAGTCTTCGTCAAGATCGGGCAGCTGCTGTCCCTGCTCCCGGCAGGGGTCCTTCCCGAGGCGTACATGAAGGACCCACTCGGTGTCGTCGCCGTCCGCCCTGCTCACGCAGCGCCCGAAGGGCCAGCGAGGGGAGCCCTTCCTAGCCCAAACCGGTTGGGTTTTGCCGTCTGGTTCTTCTGCTTGCGCATCTTGCTGTTGTGTTGGGACGCTGGCTGTGCGCACGCGTTCGGAGCGGTGCGTTTCCGGTGCCCTTCAGAGGGGCTGCGTCGCAGCCTGTCGCAACCTCTGTCGACGCCCTTCCATTGCATCCCACGGTCCACTGCGGCGCCTCGCGGAGCGCAGCACTTTTGCATTATTGCTTGGTTGTGGTGGTGGCGGTTGTTTTTGTTATTGAGTTTGTTGTTGTTTCTGTTTTGTTGTTTTCGTTGTCGTCGTCGTTGTCGTCGTTGAACATTATTTATTCTAAAGAATAATTATTGTTGGGCCCCCTGGTGCGCGCCCCCCCTGCGCCGCCTAGGCCGCAGCTACATTTTCATCATTTTCGTGAGGAAGCCTCAGAAAAGAGGGTGTGTACAGGATCCGGTTGTTTTGTTGTAATCCGCTTTCCCTTGCAAAAAACAATAGAAAATGACATTTCTTGTTCTAATATAATCAAATTTCAAGAATCCCTTGCAAAAAATAAGGTAAAGTGGACATTCGCGCGCGCAAGACGAAATCCTTCCAAAACCTTAGTGTTCGGAGCGATTTTAACATAAAAACATCAAAAAACCAATGGTTTTTCAACAAAAAAATGTCAAAATCTCATCCCGCGCGCTCTTGCGGATTCGTAGGAAACCCAACACTTTTTAAACATTTCTGTCAAACGGGCTTTTGCGAGCAACTTTTTCGAACTTCTGCGACAACGGTTGCGCACCTGCCAGGGCCATCATCCCTGTCAAATAATACCATGCGGGACACATTCGTTTTTTCTTCGCGCGCGCACGCCGTCGTCGTCGGCCGCGGGGCCCTGAATAGTAGCCACGGTCGTCCGCATGCCACGAAGTGAAGTGTCCGAACGTCATAGGGCGGGAAGCTGGGTGTGGGTGGTGGCGAAGAGTCGTTTGGAAATTTGGTAGAGCTTGAACCGGCCCCCCCACAAAGTGGGGGTATTGCCCGCCTCCTATGAAAACCCTGGCACTGGTGAGAACGGAGTGTCCCCACGTGCTAGTAATTGTTGTTGTTGTTGTTGTTGTTGTTGTTGTTGTTGTTGTTGTTGTTGTTGTTGTTGGTGTTGTTGATGTTGTTGTTGTTGTTGAACTCTAATTACTGAAGAATAATTATTGTTGATCCCCCCCTCCGGCGGACATTGTATTTTTTCAATTGAAGTGCTCCTTCCGGGGCTCACACCCTGTTCTTTATCAGGGAAAGTCGTGGGCATCGAACTGCGTTGTTGGCCCCCCGGACAACAACAACAACAACAACGGCTCCCGCCTGATACTTCCTCCAAATTTACTCAGGACCCCCGCCCCCGCCTGGGACTTCCTCGTAGTTTACTCAGGCGGAGGCGCTCCCGCCTGAGACTTCCTCGCAAATTACTCCGGACCCCCGCCCCCGCCTGGGACTTCCTCGCAGTTTACTCTGGCGGAGGCGCTCCCGCTTGAGACTTCCTCGCAAATTATTCCGGGAGCGGCGCTCCCGCTTGGGACCTCCCTCACAACTGAGCATCAAACTATAATGTTGGCCCCCCGGACTACAACAACAACGGCTCCCGCCTGATACTTCCTCCACATTTACTCCGGACCCCCGCCCCCGCCTGGGACTTCCCCGCAGTTTACTCAGGCGGAGGCGCTCCCGCCTGAGACTTCCTCGCACATTACTCCGGGAGCGGCGCTCCCGCTTGGGACCTCCCTCACAACTGAGCCCTGCTGAACTCTCAATACTGAAGAATAATTCTTATTGTTGACGCTTCGCGTATCCCCACCAGCCCATCCAGAAACGATGCTCAGGGGAGTTGAGGTGATCAGGGAAGTCGGGGAGCATGCAGAATAACAAAGGGCGGGGGAAGCTGTCACAGACCCCGAGAGGGGGAGGATGGAAGAGGAGTCGTCGTCGTCGGCGTCGTCGTCGGAGGAGGAGGAGGAGGAGGAGGAGGGGGAAGAGGAGGAGGAGGAGGAGGAGGAGGAGGACGGAGAAGGAGGAAGAATCGGAGGAGGAGGAGGAGGAGGGGAAGGAGCTTCTTGGGGGTCTTTTGAGGGCCTCTTGGAGGGCTTTTTGGGCGCCTTGGGGCATCTTGGGCGCCTCTTGGGACCCTCTTGAGGCGCTCTGGGGAGCCTTCGGGGCGCTTTTGGGGCCATCTTGGAGGGAGTCGATCAAACAAGAGGGGGGGTTTAATTAGCGTCCCCCCTCGGAAGCCCCTAAAATCGCCTCTTGGACCCCTCTTGGAACGCTCTTGGAGTGCTCTTGGGCGCTCTTGGGGCCGTCTTGGGGCTCTTTTGGGGCTCTCTTGGGGCCCTCTTGGGCCATCTTGGAGCCATCTCCAGGCCTCGGATGGCCATCGGAAGCGAAAAGGCGAGAAAGCAAAAATCATTGATTTTCCTTAGGTTTTGGGACGATTTTGGCCTCTTCGGGGCCTCCTTGGGGAGCTGTTTGGCCACTTGGAGTTATCTTGGGGCCGTCTTTGGGCTTCTTGGAACCATCTTAGGAGCCATCGTGAGCGATCTTGCGCTATCTTGAGCCATCTTGGAGCTCATCTTGGGTTCTCTGAGGCGCTCTTGGAGCCGTCTTGGGCCATCTTGGACGCTCTAACTACCCGCGGCCCCCCCCGTCCAGGTCCAGGGGAGGGGGTAGGGGGAGGGGTAAACCCCTCCCCAAGGGGGAAGAGGGAGGGGTGGAAGAGGATCTGCTCTAGACCACCTACGCCCAGAGGGCTGGTGGGATTGATCCCCCCCTCCCCTCCTGCTAACCTCTTTCGTCCTCCATCCATCCTCCCCCCCTTGCCCCTTCCCTCCTCCCTCCCTCCCCCCACTCTTTTCCTCCTCGCTCTCCCTTCCTCCTTCCCCCTGCTCTTCCTGTTTTAGGGGCTGCGCCAACTACACGTGGCGAGTAAAAAAGATATACCCCCAAAGGGGTATGACCGAAGACGAAGAGGGTGGGTATCGAGGGTTTGGGATTTACATATTGAGTGACGCGCGCGCATATAAGAGCGATCAGTCTTAAAATGATTGTTGTTGTTGTTATTGTTGTTGTTGTTGTCGTTGTTGCTGTTGTTGTTGTTGTTGCCCGTGGTATTGGTGTTGGTGTTATTGTTGTTGGTGTTGGTGTTGGTGTTGTTGTTGTTGTTGTTGTTGATGTTATTGTTGCTTGTTGCTGTTGTTGTTGTTTCTGTTGCTTTGGTTGTTGCTGCTGTTTTTGGTGACGATTCGGTTGTTGTTGTTGTGCTTTCACTTTTCGAAGGATAATTTGTGTTGATCCCCCCTCACCAGTGCATATTGTTTTTTTTCTCCGTCAAAGTGTGCCCCTCGACGCTCGCACATTGTTTTTTGACAGGGGAAATCTTCCTGGTCAAACTGTGCCCCTGGCCCCCCGGACTACAACAACAACGGCTCCCGCTGGAGACTTCCTCCAAATTTACTCAGGACCCCCCTCTCCCTCCTGAGACTTCCCCCCAATTTACTAAGGAACGGCGATCCCGCTTGAGACTTCCTCACAATTTAGTCCAGGTCAAACTGCGTTGTTGCTCCCACGGGCTACAACAACAGCGGCTCCCGCCGGAGACTTCCTCCAACTTTACTCAAGACCCCCGCTCCCTCCTGAGACTTCCTGCCAATTTACTCAGGATCGGCGCTCCCGCCTGTGACTTCCTCGACATTTAGTCAGGACCCCCCCTCCCGTCTGATGCTTCCTCACAATTTACTCAAGAACGGCGCTCACGCTTAAGATTTCCTTACGCTTTAGTCTAGACCCCCGCTCCCGCCAGACATCCTCCCCTTTTCAGGAATTGCGCTCCCGCCTGTGACTCTTTCGCAGTTTATGCAGAAATCGCGCTGTCTACGCTGAGGCACCACGCTCGCAATTTAGTCAGGACCCCCGCTCCCATCTGAGATTTCCTCACAATTTAGTCAGGAACGGCGCTCCCGCTTGAGACTTCCTCGCAATTGAATCAAGACTTCCTTGCAATTTAATCGAGATTTCTTTGCAAATTGATCAAAACAACCGCTCCCGCTAGAGACCCCTTCACATGTTATTCAGGAGTTGCGTTCTCGCCTGTGCCTTCCCTGCAATTGTTTTCCGGTATCGCGCTTTCGACGCTCAGGAAACACGCTGCGCCAAGGACGCCGTTACAAGTTAATTCGTAATCGCGCTCTCGCCCTACTCTGGCATCCCGCTTGAATGTCCCACCCGCCCGACCTGCCCGTCAGAGGATCGCCTGCCCGTCGTGGGCTGGCGCTTTCGCCTAAGACTTCTTCGAACGTTCGCACTCTTACCTTCCTGCTCCTCCCTCCTCCCGGACCGCCTCCCCCCTCCTTCCGATTCCCTCTCCCTCGCACGTGGCAGGGAATGATTACGCCCCAAAAAAGGGGGTACGATCGAAGACGGAGAGGGCGGGCATCCAGGGCTTGGGATATGCGTATTGAATGACGCGCGAGCAGACAAGAGCGAACAGTCTTAAAATGATTGTTGTTGTTGTGGTTGAATTTTCATTTCTAAATCATGACTATTGTTGATCCCCCCCTCCCAGTGCACCGTGTGCTTTTCAATTAAAACGTTCCTCCCGCCGTTCGCGCCATGTTCTTTATATGGGAAAGTCTGCGTCGTCAAACTGACCCCGTAGCCCCGGGGTTGCAGCGACAACGGCCCCCGCCGGATGCATCTTCGCAATTTGTTTCGCTCTCGCGCTCTCGAGCTGGTATTCCTCTGATTTGATGCTGGGGTCGCGCTGTCGCGTGGGACCTCCCAGCAATTTATTACGGCGCCGTGCCCCCAATATTCAGGAATCGCGCTCTCGTTTCGAATGTCCCCACGAATTCCTTGGCAATCGCGCTCTCGTTCGAAACTTCCTTTATAATGGACTGACGCTTCAGCGACCCGCCCGCCCGACCTGGCCTTCTGGGCCCGCCCGCCCGACCTGCCCGACCCGCCCGTCTGGTTCTGCCGCTTGTACTGTTGCTCATAACGATCCTGATAATTTCTCTCGTGCTCCATCCTTTGCCTTGTTCCTTCCCTTCCTCCCATCCGTGTTAGGGGCTGCGCCAAGTAAGAGCGGCAGGTGGGGAAGTTCTACCCCCAAGGCGGGTACGATCGAAGACGAAGAGGGCGGGTATAGCGGGTTCGAGGTGTATTTGCTGAATGGCACGCGAGCAGATCAGAGCGAACCGTCTTAAAGTGTTTGTGGCTGTTCTCTTTCATCTAGCTCGCTGCCGCCATCCCAATTGCTCGCACGGCAGCCGCAATATTGTGCCGAAGCAGGAAAGGTAATGCGATTATCGTCCTCGTCGTCGTCATCGTCCTCTTGCTCCTCTTCCTCCTCTTCCTCCTCCCCCCTCCTCTTCCTCCCTGACCTCCTCGCGCTGCGGAGAGATCGCGCCGGCACGGTCTTTTTTTGGGGGGGGGGTCGTGGTGTTGTCTGCCGTGCGTCTTGAGTCTTCGGCCTCCGTGGGGGGGGGCTCGCTGCGCCCTCGCTGGCTGCCTCGCGACGACCTGCTGCAGGCCGGAAAGCTGGTCCTGTAGGGGTCGGAGGTTGATGTACCTCCTACCCTGACACGCCGAGTAACGAATTGGCCGTTTTCGGTTTGCGAGAGGTCGTCGCGGCCGTCACTTTTGCGGGTCCAGGTCCGTCGGTTTCGGTCCTAGGCTGCCTTCACTAAAGGATGGTTTACTAAAGGTAGGTTTGACCACCGCCGAAGGGAAGGGGTCTGGATTTTGAGGGTCCATGCCGTGAACCATTGAAGAAGGCACATTCCGTACGCGCCCGTCGTTGAACGTAGGTACTGTTGGATACCCTGTTCCCAGTTTGCTTCAAGCGTTTTCCTTCTTGAAGAATAGATGCTCTTTTGTTGTGCGTTGTTGCTTTCTTAGGGGGGGAACCCAATCTAGTTCATCCGCCTTCCTACGTCATGTCTATCCCGCTCAATCCCGCTTCAGCCGCGGTCTAATCCGGCATGACGGCCCCCCAATGGGGCTCAATTCTCCTTTACCTTTCTGACGAAGGCCTCCCAGTAGTTGCCTCCTGGCGTAAACATACGGGGGTGGACAGAACCCCCACCCTGACACGTCGATTAGTGAACTGTCCGTTTTCGGTTCTCGGAAGGGCGCCGCGGCCGTTATTTTCCGGGCTTGCACCCGCCAGGTTCGGCCCCGAGGTCGTTTTCACGAAGCCATGTTTTGCTACAGGGGGTTCTGTCCGTCCCCGAAACAGACGCTTTCGGAGGTCCGCGCGGGTTCCTTGGGCAGCGCGGCCCCCCCCCCCCCGAGGAGCTGAAGAAACTCCAGAACACGGTGCCGCCCCGACCTGGCGACGAGGTCCACTGGGGGCGGGCCTCGGCGGCGGCCGGGAAAAAGGAAGTGAAGGCTAGGCTTAAGTCAGGCCTGTCCCTCCACAGGAGGGATGTTCAAAAGCAGTCAAGCAATACTCAGGGGACGACTTTTTGTATTTTGTTTTTGCATTTCGGGGCATTTTGGTAGCATGTTGGGAGTATTTTTAATTTGTCGTCCAAAGTCCGCCTGTAGGGGGACAGGCCCGACCTAAGGCTAGGGGGTGGTGGATATCGTGGCCTTGGCATCGCTCAGACGTGTGCCTTTGTTTTGGGCGAGGGCCACCGAGGAGGAGCAGCCTGGAGCATCGAGCCAAGGCGACACGCAGGAAGCCGAGAGAGATGCACGGGGAACGGGCGTCCGAGCGATGGCAAGCGGCGGCCAGAAGGAGAAGGCCTTCTCAGAAGGCGGTGGGATTCCTCAGAGCCTCCATCCCCCTCCTCAATCCTTCTCCTCCTCCTCCTCCTCCTTCTCCTCCTCCTCCCCCTCCTCCTCCTCCTCCTCCTCCTCCTCCTCCTCCTCCTCCTCCTCCTCCTCCCCCCTCCCCCTCCTCCTCCTCCTCCTCCTCCTCCTCCCTCCTCCTCCCTCCTCCCCCTCCTCAATCCCCCTCCTCAATCCCCCTCCTCCTCCTCCTCCTCCTCCTCCTCCTCCTCCTCAATCCCCCTCCTCCTCCTCCTCCTCCTCCTCCTCCTCCTCCTCCTCCTCCTCTTCCTCCTCCTCCTTTCTTCCAGGCGAGCGACGCAATAATCTGGGGCCGAGCGCGGGGGGACAGTCGCGCGCGGACCTCCCGCACGGGCTCGCGCGCTTGAGCGCCTTCCGCTCCCGCGCGGTGTGACCTCCCGATGCGATGCGGACAGCTCCCGTGCCCCCCGTCGGCGGCGCGCCCCGGTGAGGAGGCAGATGAGGGCGGGCCCAGAAGGCCTCCTCCGCCCTTCTGTCCGGAGGGGAGAACACACAGACACGAAGACGCGTCGGTCACCCGGAACAGAAGGGACAGTTGGGCAGTGGAGGGAAGACGAAAGAGCCCAGAACATGTGCCGTCCTGTGGGGCATCCCGGAAGCTGTTTGTGTCCACCCTGAGCCGTGGGGAACCCCGAGCAGCTTCCTGGGCCGCGTCTCCGCAGCCGCCAGGCGCTCAGAGGGCCGCGGCGCTCCCGAGACGCGCCTCCCCCCCACCGCCCCGCCCCTGCTCGAGGAGGCCCCCCGGCCTCTCGCCTCTCCCCCCCCGCCGGCGCGCCGCGGGCCCAGGTCAGGGAGCTCGTCGAGGACGAGCTGGGCTGCTCCATCGAGAGCATCTTCAGCCGCTTCGACGACAAGCCCATCGGCGCGGCCAGCATCGGCCAGGCGCACGAGTGGGGCGGGAGGCCGACGAGAAAGCGGCGGGGGCGGCGAAACGAGGGGCGAAGCGGCGCCTCACCAGGCTGAGTTTGTGAGGAGGAGGAGGAGGAGGAGGAAGAGGAGGAGGAGGAGGAGGAGGAGGAGGAGGAGGGGAGGAAGATGGGGAACTGGAGGAGGAGGAGGATGAGGAGGAGGTGGAAGAGGAAGTGGAGGAGGAGGAGGAGGAGGAGGAGGAGGAGGAACTGGAGGAGGAGGAGGGATGAGTAGCAGGAGGACAAGGAGGAGGAGGAGGAGGAGGAGGAGGAGGAGGAGGAGGAAGGAGGAGGAGGAGGAGGAGGAGGAGGAGGAGGAGGAGGAGGGTCGAGGGAGGAGGGAGGAGGGGAGCAGGCCTCGCGCCACAGTTGCGATGTGCATCAATATATTGTTTGTCTTCTCCATCTGCCTCGATCTGTGTCCTTGTTTACCTTCATCTCCCTCTGGGAACCTTCCTCCTCTTAATCTTCTTCCTCCCCCCTCTCCTCCTACCAAAGCTGGGAAGGAGGTGATGTGGCGCGTCGCTTGGGTGCTTTCCCCTAAGAGCAGAGGTCTCTTCCCTCACGCGTGAAGCACAACATGCGCCCAGGCCTGACCTGGTCTCCACTGGTTGCCCAACCCAATCCTCCCTTTCCTCCTCCGTCCTCCTCCGTACTCCGTCCTCCTCCCCCTCCCCCCCTCCTGATCATACCCGTGCGCTGTGGGCTCGCCAATCTTGGTTTACCCCGCAGCTGCTTCCGCGCGCCCTGCACCGAAATTACCGTCCGCGCCAGTCCTCAGTGGCCCACATGGCGCGCCCCCCTCCCTGCTGTCGGCGGGGGCGGAAGGTGTGGACAGCCCAGGCGAGGGTATTCCCCGCACTCGCCGGGGAGCCTCGTCGAAGACGTGGGCGATGGGAGCCCGGTCGCACGCATCACTGAGCGAAGCGCCCCGGGGGGCGAGGGCAGGGCGTCGAGCCTTCTCGGAAGGCCCCGGAGGCCTCCAGGGAGCTGCCCGGGCCTGCCCCCGAAGCCCTCAGGAGGCCGGACCGGAGGGCCTCTGAGGAGTCCTGCCGCGTGCTGAGGAGGCCTGCCCCCTCTCACGTCCCCCCTCGGCGGGCCGCCGAGTACAGTCAAAGCACATGGGAAGGATGAGCAACTTTCCGTTGGTTATCCTTGCACCCTCTGCCCCGTCGGCCCGTCCTCGACGGCGTTCGCTGGCCAAGACTCCCAATCCACAACATGCCAAGACTCCCAATCCACCGCGCAAACCGAAGCGCATGTGCAACATCCGCGAGTCCAGGTGATGTAGCTTCGAACCGCTACCACAGAGTTGCGCTGGCATACAGCCCAAACGCCTTAACCATGATAAGAAGGGTGACGTTAATGCTGCTGCTTATGGTGATGCTGCTGATGCTTCTGCTGATGATGCCGTTGCTGCTGTTGCTGGTGATGATGATGACGATGATGATGATGATGATGATGATGATGATGATGATCTGGCTGCTGATGACGATGCTGATGATGACCATGCTGATGATGTTGATGCTGCTGATGCTGATGATGATGATGATGATGACGGTGGTGGTGATGATGATGATGTTGCTGATGATGATGATGATGCTGCTGATGCTGATGATGATGATGATGATGATGACGGTGGTGGTGATGATGATGATGCTGCTGATGATGATGATGATGGTGATGATGATGATGATGATGATGATGATGCTGATGATGATGCTGATGATGATGATGCCAACGACGGTACTAGGATGATGATAATACGGATGGGGATGATGATTTTGATGATAATGTTGATGGCGATACTGACAACGTCAATGCGGAGGACGGCGATGATGATGCTGTTTGATGATCATGATCATGCTGAGGGTGATGGTGGTGGTGGTGATGCTGATGATGCAACGTATGATGCTGGTGATGGTGATGAGAAGAAAGAGGAGGAGGACGCGGATGAGGATGATGGTGATGATGATGTTGATGATGTTGATGATGATGATTATGAGGATAGTTATGATGTGTGCCTGCGATGGTGAGGAGGATGATGATCTCACCCGGAGGAGGGCGAAGAGGAGCAGGGAACAGGAGTCGGAGGGAGCAGGAGGAGGGAGCAGGAAGAGTGGGAAGGGGGAGGATCAGGAGGATCATGTGCAGGAGGGAGAAGGATTAACATGAAGAGCAGGACGAGGTGGCGAGGCGGCAGCGGGGAGCAGCCTCGAGGTGCATCGTGCTCGCCTGCGCAAGGACGGCCGCGAGGTAGTCGTGAAGGTCCAGTACCCGGAGGTGTCGCAAACCATAGAGCCCGACTTCAACAACTGTGAGCGCATCGTGTGGTTCCTGGACAAGACGAGGTCACCGGCAGTCAGAGAGGGGTCACGGTGACCAGAAATACCAGAGGAGGAACACATGCGGAGTGGGCTCCAGGCGAGAGATCGAGGGTGTGGGTGTGGGTCTCCAAGGCAGGCACCAACAGCGTGCGGGCTGCCGAGGCGTGGCGGGGGTCGTAGTGGGTTCCGGGCGAGAAATCAGAGGGTTTGGGAGTTTTCAAGACAGGCAGAATCGCGGCATGGGGATGGGTTCTTCAAAGCAGACGACAACAGCGTGGCCGGGGGGTGCGGGATGCCGAGATGTGGCGGGGGTCGTAGTGGGCTCCAGGTGAATTCGGAGGGATGGAGGGGTTCTGAACGAATTGTCCTGGCGAAGGGCTCAACCATATGCAGTTGCGAGCACTTCCCCTTGCATCGCCTGGAGTGGAGCTCCATATAGGGCCACGGAGTGTGGGAAGGCTGCCGAAATCGGTGGGGCGGCCGCCCGTGGACACCGCCACTGGGACCCCCGGTGGAGCTCACAGGGGGCCCCGAAGCGTGTGAGGGGTGCGCCGACACGGGTTGGGCGGTCGCATGGGGACATCGCCTTTGGGTCCTTTCGGTGGAGCTCCCCATGGGGCCACGCAACGCGTGAGGTGTGTGTTTCCAAGAGGGTTTGGGCGGTCGCATGTGCACACCCCCTCTTGGGGCCCTCGTTGGAGCTCCTTCCTCATGGGGTCACGGAGCGTGTAAGGGGTGTGCCGACATGGGTGGAGCGGTCACCTTTGCACACCGCCGTTGGGGCCTGCGGTGGAGCTCCCTATGGGGCCACGAAGCGTGTGAGGGGTGTGCCGAAAGGGTTTGGAATGCCTCATGTGGCCATGGCCACAAGGGCCTCCCATGGAGCTCACATGGAGCCGGGCCGCGAAACGTGTGAGGGGGGTGCCGGCATGGGTTGGGCGGCCGCATGTGGACACCGCCACTGGGGCCTTCGGTGGAGCTCACCACGGCGCCACGGAACGTGTGTGTGTGTGTGTGTGTGTGTCACGACACGCTTGACGCGTGTCGAAACGATTGACATGCGGAGGGTAGCCTTCCTCCCAGCCCTTACCATGGCGCAGATCTCCTCTTTATGCGCACAGGGTGATGTCGAGCAAGGCAATGGTCCCGAGAGGGTTTGCAATGCATGGTGAAGCACGGCATAGCATGGTGTAGAAGAGCGCGGCATAACAGAGGATGTCATAGCATGGCTTGGCATTGCGTAGTGTCCAATTCAATACAAGGCGTAACATTGCAAAGCATGGCATCGCACAGCGGAACACAACGCAACATCGCTTTGCATGTCATGGCATGGAACCGGATGCCTTGTAGGGTACATGTCCCGTGTACGGAAGGAGAAAGCCTGTCCAGAATCCTGGCTCCATGTCCTGCGCAACCGTGACTGCCCGATGTGGGCACTTTCGAATGCCGAGTGACGTCTTGTAGGGGTGCTGTAATAGCGTAAGGTCCGCCACCTTCCTTTCGACACGCTGCCTCGCGTTCCTCGAGCCCCCGTCCAAGTCTTCCTGAGCTCCCCGGACAGCTCTGCACGAGCCGTGGCGGATGGCCCGAACACTTCCAGAAGCTCCAGGGAACGCGCAGAAATTGCCGACGGCGACAACGACGCAGACGACGACGGTGGCGGCGGCGGGGGAAGCTGCGGCGGGCGAGGACGGATGTCAGGGAATAGTACTGCGGGCTGCCAGGCTCGATGGTCTTGCTTCCTTGAACAATCGGCTCACACTGGGCCCTTGGACCCCTCACGGGGTCAAGTCGTGTCGGCGCTTTCCAGCCGGATCGTTCTTTAAGGTCCCCGGGGGGGGAGTGCTTCTACGGCCCAAAAACTAACGAATCGACACCGAATGTGGATTCACTTCTGATAGCTTCTCCAGGGGGCAATTCTTTTGATTTGGGAGCCTCCTTGGAAGGACCAAAAACCACGCCGTGGCATAGCGCTGGAAAGAATGACGCCAGCGCTGCAGCGGAAGCACGATGCGGAGCGAGCGGAAGCGCGGCAAATGAGGCCAGCGTCGCAGCGGGAGCGCGATTCGGAGGACGCGCAGCCTGACGTAGTATGGTGTGGCGAAGCCCCAAAGTGGGAAGGGGGGCTTGTGGGGCCCCAAAAAATCAACGAGTCGACACCGAATGTATAATTTTTTCGTATGATTTTTTCGGGACGCAAGTTTTTAGATTTGGGGGCCTACTTGGAAGGACCGAAAACCACGCCGTGGCATGGCGCTTGAAATAATGACGCCAGCAATGCAGCGGGAACTTCGGAACGAGCGGAAGCGCGGAAATGAGGCCAGCGCTGCAGCGGGTGCACGTTTTGGAACGAGCGGTAACCCGAAAATGAGGCCGGCGTTTCAGCGAGAGCAGCATCTTGAAGAAACCCAAGCGAAAACACAACTCCCGGGAATCTTGCGTAAAAAAACCGTGCGCGGGGTGGGGGGCCGGACATTTCCCGGACGGCACCAGGGGAGGGAGGAGAGTAGTACTCATATTGGGTAATTGCAGAGGAGGAGGAGGAAGAGGAGAGGACGCTGGGCGCGGTCTCTTCAAAACGAACACCCAGCACCACAGGATGGTTGGGAACGACAGCGTGGCTTAGAGGCTGCGGGATGCAGAGACGTGGTGGGGATGGTACTGCGCTCCAGGACAGAAATCGGGGGGGCGAAAGCTTGGCCTGGGGAGAGCGTGATGCCGAGGCGTGTGCCCGAGATTCAGGGCGTGGACTGGGAGGTGCGGGCTGTCGGGAGATGTGGGGGTGGGTGGAGGCGGCGTGGGCCGTGGGCGAGAAAGCCGTCCTAACGGAGGCAAGGGGCTGGGGCTGGGGGCGGGGGATGTCGGGCGCAGTGGGGGTCGTAAGGGCCGCGGGGTGGCTCTTGGGCTGGACGTCAGGGGTTTGGGAGGGGACGGGGCTGGGCGGTGGGGGATGTGACAGGGTGGGGGTCGTAGTGCAGGCGGGGTGGGTCCTGGGCTGAAAATCAAGGGTGTGTGGGGGGGCCTCAAAACACGAATTGGACGACGGGGCTGGGCGGTGGGGATGCCGGGCGGGGTGGGGGTCGTAGTGCATGCGGGGTGTGTCCTGGGCTGAAAATCTGGTGTGTGTGTGTGTGTGTGCGTGTGTGCGTGTGTGCGTGTGTGCGTGTGTGCGTGTGTGCGGGGGGGGCCTCGAAAGAACGAGGCCGGACGATGGGGCTGGGCGGTGGGGATGTCGGGAGTGGCGGGTGGCGAATCTCAAGTTGAAGATGCGGGGTGCGTGGGGGTGTTCCGCACTGATGCCGCGAGCCACGGCTCGGGGATCGGGGGTGCGGGATGTCGGGCGAGTCGTGTTGGAGGCGGGAGCGCGGGCCTCGGGAGCGCATGTTCTGATGGAGTTGGGCTTCCCGAGTGCGAATCTTGTGCAAGTTACAAGAAGAATTCAGGCCTGGGGGGCACGAATCTATTGCACTTTACAGAGGGGTCGCGAATCTGGCATTTTGTTCCGAAGGGATTCTAGCGTCGGGATCGCGAATTGGGTGTAATTTAGAAGGGGCTCTGACCTCGGGAACGTGCATCTTGTGCAATTTTCAATGATGATTTCCCTGGGGGCGCGCACCTTATGTATTTCCACGTGTCCCAGATCCACCAGAAATTCAGGCAACGCGACTCGGGCGTGGTAACCTGCCGGTTTACGGCTCCCACCCTGGCGCGGACGCCACCGATTGACAGTAGTCGGCGGCGAGCGAGGGGGTGAATTTAGAAGGAGAAGTCTTTCTCAGAAGGTTCGGATGTTCCCGGCCGGCCTTCTGAGAAGTTTTCTAAGTCTTCCCCGAAGACAGGACACAATTATCATAATGCGCAAGGGTTTCTGATGAGAAGTCCCGCCGCCTTTGAGAAGGCCTTGTCCTTCTCATTTCCCCCCCTCGCTCGCCGCCGAAGTAGGAAACAGGAATTAGCACTAGATCACTGGAAACTGGAAATTGGCACCCGAGCAGGGCGCAGGAAACCTCAGCCGCGCAGCCTGGTGGCCACCTTTACAGGGGGGACGGCGGATTCCCTCATCTTCGGCCGTTTGAGTACATTCTCTTCAGCTTCGAAGATGACTCGACAAACGGGAACATGGTTTTTCTAAAGTATTCTTGGAATATGTTGGTCCCAAATCCGTCTGTGGGGGGACATGCCCAACCAAAGTTTAGTGCAGTGTAGGCCCATGCCACGAAACACCCTGCTTGTCTCCAGGGTGCCCTGGGTTTCTTGGGTTTCGACGGGTTTGACAGCGTGACGTTCCCAACCCAAACATCATTGGACGTCCTGGGGCCTCAGGGAGCGATCCGAGGGCAGGGAGGTTGTTCAGCATCGAAGCAGAAGAGACGGCATGAACAAAAAATTCTGGCGCTCCGCACGGAGTTCTTGGATCCGCGCTGGGCCCCCCTGGTGGCGCCTCCGACGCCGCCCCTGGCGCGCTCCTCGAGCCGGGGAGGGGGTCCAGCGCAGATCCAGGAAATCCGCGCGGAGCGCCAAAAGTTTATGTTTTTGTCGTTTTTCCTTCTTCTAGAGCTATTCACCCCGCTTACCTCCCCGCCCTTCTTGGGAGCGCGTTTCACCAAGGAGGTCCTCAGAACTCCAGGGTGGATCACTGCCCCCAGCTCACCCGAAGAAGGCAAACAGCATCAGCATGAAACCTTCGGAGGCCCGCGCGAATTTCTTGGATCTGCGCCGGCTCCCCTTGGCGGCGCCTCCAGCGCCGCCCCTGGCGCGCTCCGCGCACCAGGGAGGGGGGCCCAGCGCCGATCCAATAGATCCACGCTGACCTTCGAAGGTTCATGTGTAGCGAGGGCGCGAGGGTGATCGCGCATCGCGGGGCACGATGTTCGAAATTGGAGCACCTCAGAGAGTCTTTGTTTTGTATTTCCCAACCCTCCTGCGTTGGGTTCTCGTTTTGAATAGAGCACTGCTCGCGCGTCTCCTTCCTTCCCGCCCCCCCCCCGTCCCTCTCTTCCCCCCTGCCTTTGACCTCGCCATCCCTGGGGGGCTGCGATCTGTGAAACTGTCGCCACTTTCGAGGCCTGCTGGGGGGCCCAGCACAGTGGGGTACACACGGCGGATTGAAATTAGACCTCGCCATCCCTGGGGGGCTGCGATCTGTGAAACTGTCGCCACTTTCGAGGCCTGCTGGGGGGCCCAGCACAGTGGGTACCCACCGCGGATTCAAATTAGACCTCGCCATCCCTGGGGGGCTGCGATCTGTGAAACTGTCGCCACTTTCGAGGCCTGCTGGGGGGCCCAGCACAGTGGGTACCCACCGCGGATTCAAATTAGACCTCGCCATCCCTGGGGGGCTGCGATCTGTGAAACTGTCGCCACTTTCGAGGCCTGCTGGGGGGCCCAGCACAGTGGGTACCCACCGCAGATTCAAATTAGACCTCGCCATCCCTGGGGGGCTGCGATCTGTGAAACTGTCGCCACTTTCGAGGCCTGCTGGGGGGCCCAGCACAGTGGGTACCCACGGCGGACTCAAATGGGACCTCGCCATCCCTGGGGGGCTGCGATCTGTGAAACTGTCGCCACTTTCGAGGCCTGCTGGGGGGCCCAGCACAGTGGGCCCACGGCGGACTCAAATGGGACCTCGCCATCCCTGGGGGGCTGCGATCTGTGAAACTGTCGCCACTTTCGAGGCCTGCTGGGGGGCCCAGCACAGTGGGTACACACGGCGGATTGAAATTGGACCTCGCCATCCCTGGGGGGCTGCGATCTGTGAAACTGTCGCCACTTTCGAGGCCTGCTGGGGGGCCCAGCACAGTGGGTACCCACCGCGGATTCAAATTAGACCTCGCCATCCCTGGGGGGCTGCGATCTGTGAATTTGTCGCCACTTTCGAGGCCTGCTGGGGGGCCCAGCACAGTTGGTACCCACCACGGACTCAAATTAGACCTCGCCATCCCTGGGGGGCTGCGATCTGTGAAACTGTCGCCACTTTCGAGGCCTGCTGGGGGGCCCAGCACAGTGGGTACCCACCGCAGATTCAAATTAGACCTCGCCATCCCTGGGGGGCTGCGATCTGTGAAACTGTCGCCACTTTCGAGGCCTGCTGGAGGGCCCAGCACAGTGGGTACCCACCGCAGATTCAAATTAGACCTCGCCATCCCTGGGGGGCTGCGATCTGTGAAACTGTCGCCACTTTCGACTGTCGCGCACAAATTTCGAGAGCTGCTGAGGGGCCCAGCACAGTGGGTAACCACGGCGGATTCAAATTAGACCTCGCCATCCCTAGGGGGCTGCGATCGAAATGTCAACTTTCGATGCCTGCTCCCCCAGCACATCTGTGGGTACCCAGCCGCAGATTCAAATTAGACCTCGCCATCCCTGGGGGGCGGCGATCTGTGAAACTGTCGCCACTTTCGAGGCGTGCTTGGGGGGCCCAGCACAGTGGGTACCCACCGCAGATTCAAATTAGACCTCGCCATCCCTGGGGGGCTGCGATCTGTGAAGCTGTCGCCACTTTCGAGGCGTGCTTGGGGGGCCCAGCACAGTGGGTACCCACCGCAGATTCAAATTAGACCTCGCCATCCCTGGGGGGCTGCGATCTGTGAAGCTGTCGCCACTTTCGAGGCGTGCTTGCGGGGCCCAGCACAGTGGGTACCCACCGCGGACTCAAATTAGACCTCGCCATCCCTGGGGGGTTGCGATCTGTGAAACTGTCGCCACTTTTGAGGCCTGCTTGCGGGGCCCAGCACAGTGGGTACCCACACGCAGATTCAAATTAGACCTCGCCATCCCTGGGGGGCTGCGATCTGTGAAGCTGTCGCCACTTTCGAGGCCTGCTGGGGGGCCCAGCACAGTGACGCCACACGCAGATTAAAATTAGACCTCGCCATCCCCTGGGGGCTGCGATCTGTGAAACTGTCGCCACTTTCGAGGCCTGCTTGCGGGGCCCAGCACAGTGACGCCTCCCAAGTAGCTTACACATCAAGTTGATTGTCCATACAAGTTTCGGCCAACTCCTCGTTTTCATTGATACAAATGGGTTGGGTACGTCACAGGGTATTTTTTTATGAAGACCCGGCTCCCCAGCCAGCTTTCCTTTCGGAGTAGCTGTTGGACGGTCTTCGGTTCAGTGGACGTTCCCCGATGGCCCAAAGCGTTGAAGGAGCACCGCCTTGAGCCTGAAAGATGAATTGCTGGATGTCGGGGCAGTGGCGTGCTCTGGCGGCGCCGAGGTGCGAGGAGGTGCGCGAGGCCAAAAAATACTACATCAACGAGCTCGACTTCTTGCTCGAGGCGGCCACGCTGCAGCGGGTGCGGACGAACCTCGCTGGTGCCCGGCGGGCAGCACAGGAAGGGGCGGTGCCAGAGGAGGTCCCGTCGAGACAGCGGCGGCCTTCCCCAGCGTTTGTCGTCTCTTCGGGCCTCCCGGACAGGGCTCGTTTCGATTCCTCCGATTCGATTTGATTCGATTTCGATCAATTACCTCCGATTCCGACTCGACTTCGGATTTCGATCTGGAGTCCGATTCCTCAATGGAGGCCTATTAGCCTGCCGATTTCTGCCGTTTCGACTTCTCCCGACGTGGCTGCCGATTTCCGCCGGTCCGATTCATTTCGATCGCCGATCCGACTTGTCGATTCGACTCTGGGCTCTCCTGCCTGGAGGCTTCTCGCCGCCACGACTGGATCCGCTTCGAGTCACGATCCGAGGTGGGCGGATGTTGAGCGGATTGGTTCGGTCGCAGATCATGGGAGCTTGGTATATCCTTTCAATTCGGTCTATTAGCGTCGACGAGCGTCTATCAGCGTCTGGGAGGCGATGCGATAGCGTCGATCTTTCGCGTCGGTTGGCCTCGATTAGCGTTGATTTCAGCGTCGAGTTTAGCGTCGATCAGCGTCGATTCGCACGAGCCGGCCATATGGTATGGGAGGCTCCCAGGAGTTGCCACCGAATTTTGACGCCGGGCGGCCGAGCCGGCGCTGTCTCGGCCGTCCCGCCGTCGGTGGTGGCGCGAGGTGGGCGGCCTTGCGTTCCGAGAGGGCGGGGAGGTTATGTAATACAGTGGAGGCCCAGGTAACGAAACACCCTGCGTGCCTCCAGGGTGCCCTCGGTTTCTTGGGTTTCGACGGTTTTGAAATGGACAGCGTGACGTTCCCACACCAAGCATCAACGGACGTCCTGAGGCCTCAGGGAGCGATCCGAGAGGGCAGGGAGGTTGTTCAGCATCGAAGCAGAAGAGACGGCATGACCATAAACTTTGGCGTTCCTCGCGGAGTTCTTGGATCCGCGGTGGGCCCTCCCTGGTGGCGCCTCCGGCGCACCGCGTGGAGCGCCAACAGTTTATGTTTATGCGGTTTCTTCTTCTTCTGCAGTGTCTTCTGGCGCGTAACTCCGAGAAGAAAGAGAGGCACAAGCAGAAGTTGTCGACGACCCGCGCGGAGTTCATGGATTGCAGAAAGCTTATGTTTATGTTGTTTTGATCTAGTGACAGTCGTTTCCGGCCTCCATACTGGAGGCGGTAACGATTCGGCACGGTCAACATGGGTACGGAAAGGACGGGTTCGAAGACCGCCAGTAGATTTTTGGCATTTTGAGCAAGACTCGCCGTCGTTGTCGCCGCGGACGTTGTCCATTTGAGACAGAAGGCCGCCTGCCCAACAGCGGTCGCCGTCGGTGTTGGACAACACTTGCTGTTGGGCATCTTGTCCATTTGTCCGTACCCACTCGGGCCGGACGAAAGGGGGGGATTGGGAAAGGGGGGGTTACGAAAGTTTCTGCATGCAGCTGGTTTCGCCCCCACCGAGGGGCTCATTTCTCGATAAATAGCCGCCTCCGGCGCCGGGAGGCGCCGGGAAAATCAGCTACGTGAGCTGATTCTCAACCAACCCCTTTGCTATCCCCCTCTTTCGCCCGACCCGACCCACGTTGGTCGTCCACAGCGATTTTCTTCAGGGGTGAGGGGCCGTGACCCCCCCCCACATGCTGGTGCTCGCGCGAAAGTGGTGGCGATCGCAGCGCGTCCCCGTCGAACAGGAAACAATCTCAGGGGGGGTCGCTTCCCCAGACATCCAGCGGCTCGAAGTGATCGAGGCGGCCAGCCTTTACACATTGCTTGGAGAGACGGGCCTCACTGAATCGGGCCTCGTTGCCGCTCGTCGCCAAAGGAGTACCCCCCCCGCCCTCTCAAAAGGATGCTCCCCGTCGCCGCCCACCCCATCCCCGCGGCCCGCGTGCCGCAGAGGCGCTTTCCCGGCGGTTCGAGTGCCGGAGCCGGTGATGGAGCTCTGCAAGCCGAAGGTGCTCGTCATGACCTTCCTCAGCGGCAGCCACCGAGCGGCGAACGTGTCTACACCCTCCGTGCGCTCGCGGCCTGGGCTCTCGGATCTGCGAGCCCGCGGGCACATGGCGGCCTTGTCTGGATGCCCCGCTCGAGACGTGTCCAAAGGACTGCGTGCGGCAGGTTCGTGTCGTGTGGACGCGGCGGCGACCCCGCCGCGGGCGTTCAAGGCTTGGTCGCCGCCAGTTGCCCGGAATATACCAATACGGAACGATCTGGCGGTCGAAGAGCAGCCCGTCGTCCGCGGTTGAACGATCCACGCAGTGAAAGGAACCCTCGCCGAAGTCGGCTCGACATGAGATTGTCGTGTCCATGGGGTCGCGCCTCGGTGCCCAGACCGTGGATGATACGGGTATGGATATGTTCGCCGCTCGCGAGGCAGCTCCCTCCTCGACGGGGTCATGCGGATGGCCGAGGCCATCGCCAAAGTCCGTGGCGACCTGCGCAGCGGGGCCCGGTCGATCGCTCCGGTGCTTCGAAGTCCTCGCTGTCGGCCTGGCGCTCGCCCCGTCCCATGCCTCGTTGGATGCAGGGGTTCCTTTCGATCGGGTCGCGGTGCTCAAGCAGAGTCAGCCCGCAGAGCAAGGATAAGCGAGTTTCCAAGGTTATGTACCCTTGCATCCTGCCCCTTCGGCCCATCCTTGGCCACTTTCGCTGGCCGCGCCCCGCTCGCAAAGTGTCGGCATGGCTTTTTAAGGCCCTTGCATCCTTACCGTGCGTCCTTATGCGGTTATGCGACGGGTTGAGACTGTAGCCGCCGTCGGTGCCCCTCAGCTGCCGGGTCCGCGTACGGGAACAGTTTTCGGGGCTCAAGGGACGGGGGTCAATGCAAACGGAGTCACTCAGAGCGCCGGGTCTTGCAGGATCCGGCAGAGCCAGGGATGCTTGACCCGGGTGTGGGTGCAGGATCTTGCAGGATGTTGCAGGATCGTGCAAAGCCTGACTGACCCGGGTCTGGATTGACCCGGATCAGTCGATTTTCGAAGTTTCTGTCCCTTTCCACGGCTGCTGTTTCGTTTGTGCTCGCTTTCTCCAAACTGCTGCTCGCCGCCAGCGGGCGCGACGGGCTCTGCGTCCCACGCGCGGGCGACGCCGAAGGGGGGGGGGGCGGGGCAGGATGCGTCGCGGAGCAACCCGCCGTCCAGGCGAAGGCCGGTGGTCCGCGGGACGTGCGTCAACCCAGTGTGTGTGTGTGTGTGTGTGTGTGTGTGTGTGTGTGTGTGTGTGTGCCACCTTTCAGCTCAGCTCCGCCGACAGCGTGCCGTCAGCTCCGGCCCCCGTTGCACCGCCCGCGTCCTCTGGAAGGGCCTCGATGCACGGGCACAGGGTGGCGTTCTCAGGGGCAGCAATAGGGGAGGATCGGCACGTGGGGGGACGCATCCACCCCCAATGGCCCTTTGATCGCCGATCTGTAGGGGCCGGATAGCCCCACCCTGCCCAGTAACGTACGGAATCGCTATCAGGAGCCCATCGCCGATCTATCGGCGATGTACAGTGGGGGCGCGCATCAAGAAACCATATGCTTTTCGATAGGGTATCCTGGGTTTCTTCGCTCCTTGCGCTGCGCGGTGACTTCCCGCAGCCGTTAAAGGAGCTGCTGCGTACTTCGCGCTCGGGTTCTCAGGGTTTGGTTTCTTGCGAGGGTTTCTTGCGGCCGCGCCCGCACTGTATCGGGGATTCCAGGTCGACATGTCCCCCCCTGTGCCAGTCCCACCTGTCCTTGCCCCTCACGTTGGCACTCGTCCTGAGGATCCACGAGGGAGGCCCTTCTCGCACTCCTCCTCCTCCTCCTCCTCTTCCTCCTCCTTCTCCTCCTCGGGGGCGGTCCCAGGCCCCCGACGTCGCCGATCGCCCTGGTCGCCCGCTGGGCCCCTGGTGTCTTCTTGTTGTCGTCGTCCGGCGTGGGCTCCTCGGAGAGGCCTCGGCCCCCTCCCCCGGGGTGGCTTTCGGTCGGGCATGTCCTCCTACAGGCGGGTTTTGAAAGAGGAATAACATATATTCAAAGCATACTCAAGAGAGTGGTTAAACATGGTCGAAAAATCGCCCCCCAGACGATTTTTTGACTGTTTGGGAATATGTCTTCTGCAGAGGGGGGACAGGCCCGACTTACGAGTGGCTGCTCGTACCCCCTGGCGCGGTCGACGTGGGCGCCGAACGAGGGGGCGAGCGCCAGCGGCAGCTCCTTGATCATCTCGAGACGAGAGGTCACCGTGTCGCGAGCGCCGTGCCGCTCGAGACGAGAGGTCACCGGCCCCACGGCGGCCGCTGTCGGCCACGGGCAGCGTCGGTTGTTTGCCGTCGGTGCTGCTCGCGTTGGTCGGGCGTGTCCCCCCACAGGAGGAATATTCAAACATATATTAACTAGTTGTGATTTTTTTTGGGGGGGGTATTTTTAATTTTTCGTCCAAAATCCGTAGGGGAGCATGCCCGACCTAATGCTTTGCGTTCCGTGCCCTCTTTGTGCGTGCAACTTTCACCCCGAATTTTTGGACAGGCTTCGGACGGCACAACATTATCCGAAGCATGCTCCGTTCGTTCCGTCACGCCACGGCGTGGGCCAGCAAGCGTTGTCTCGGCCCCCGATCTTGGGCCTCAAGGGGGGGCAGCTTTTCGCCCGCTAGATGCGTCCGCTTCCGAGGGCCTGGTGGCGTCGAGAAGCTGCTTCCCCGAAGGCCCGAAGCAAGCTGATCCGTTCGTGGTCGCCGTCGTGGTCGCCGGTCGCCATCGCCGGCGTCGTCCGCCGCCCAGAAGGGGCAATCGTATGGTAGGCACGCTGTTGGGCGAGCTGATCCCGCCGTCGTCCGTCGTCGATGTTGTCCACGCCGTCCGCGTCGTCGCCGCCGTCCGTCGTCGTCGCCGCCGCCGCCGTGGTCGTCGTCGTCATCGTCGCTCGTCGTCGTCGTCGTCGTCGTCGTCGTCGTCGTTGTCGTCGTCGTCGTCGTCGTCGTCGTCGTCGTCGTCCACCCCTGCTGGTGGGGAGGGAAGAAGAAAATGTCCGAGGCAAGACGGTGGACGAGCTGATCGCAGAGTTTGCGCAGGGCGCCACCGCGGAGGTGCCGGACCCGGACCTCGCCTTGCAGCCGGCCGTGCAGCCCAAGGGCCGCAGGCCTCATTCTCGCCACGAAAATCGAAGGGGGGCCAGTCGAGACAACGGCGGCCCACCCTGGCGCCGTTCGCCGTTGTTGCGGGGCCTCCCGGAGGCTGCTTGTCGAGGCGGCTGGAGCCGACGAGAAAAGCAGAGGCCAGGATGGCCACTGGGAGGGGCACAGGGACCAGGGCTGAGCGGGTTTGGGCCGGGCGGGACAGTCGCTGTTGTCTCAATTGTCCCTTTCCCGGAAAAAGTCGACAGGTTTTGTATCTAGGCCTCCTAGATGGGGTCGGAGTAGATGAGGTCGGAGGATCGCGCCGCATCGCCGATGCATCGTCGCCAATGCATCACCGATGCATCGCCGATGCATCGCTGATGCATCGCCGATGTATCGGCCATGCGGCGCGATCCTCCGACATCTACTCATGTTCCATTTAGTAGGCCTCCAGTATAGGGCGACGGGTCCTGCAGGGAATCGGGTATCCCAAGGGGAACGGTCCTTGCAGGGAAGTGGAGCGGGCCTCGCAAGAGGAAGCGGGTCTTGCAGAAGAGAGGGTCCTGAGCCATGAGCCGACCGCCAGCACCCATACTTACGCGACCACTAGGTTTCTCGCGGTGAAATTCCAGGGCGGGGGCTGTGGGTGTGTGTTGTCAGATGGGGTCCCTGCTCGAACTGGAGCCCAATTCGGGGTCCTACAATTATCACCCATACCTATTCGATCGCCATCATCGCTTTGCCCTACTCCATTCGTCCTCCCCATAGGTTCGAGCGTGGGTCAAGCGGATCCTGCAGGGGCAGGAGGGAGGGTGCTGGCTGGGGAGCGAGAGGGTGGGACGGTGACGAGCTTGGAGGACCAAGGCCTTTCGACGCCTTGGGCCTTTCGACGCCTTGCCGTGGAGTGCAAGGTCCAAGAGTTTTCTTCCGCTTTCGAGCTCCTGGGGCCTTGCGCGGGCCCTGTTCGGCATGCAGGGAACATGGTCTCAGGGGGGAAAGCCCCGGGGTCCAAGACGATTTCCCTCAGGACCTCGTCTCCTCCGTTTCAGGTCGTCGTCGCCGTGGGCCCTTCGGGTGTTGCCAGGGGTGGCCCTGGCCCAAGGTGGCGCATATTTGGCGTCTCGGAGGGGGGTGGCGCCATGGGGGGCGGTCTTGTAAGATTGTGTGTGTGTGTGTGCGTGCGTGCGTTCCCAGGTGGGATTGAGGCTCGAACGCGCCCCATTTTAGCTCTCGCTGTAGCTACGTCGCTCGGCCGCTGGGGGAAGGCGAGTGTGGCCACCACTTGCAGCGGGCGGCTGGTCGGAGCAGCCGACCGCCACATGCTAGACTCGGGGCCCGCCCTGCGCCTCTCCAGACGGGCACGACGAGGAGCCCGCCGAAGACGGCCACCGTGAGCGGGGCCGCCTGCGGCTGGCAGGTTGCTTGCCCCCCCCCTCGTGCGGGCAAGACGTCTGTTCCAAGCCGCTCGAGGCGAACAGCTCTGCTGCTCCAGTGCCTTGCTGTGCTCTGGGGGCGCAAGAACAGTATCTGGGCGACCGCGTACAGCCAACACGCCGAAACGAGGACCGCTTTGGGTTCGGAAGGAGTCCGCTGTGCCTTATTAAGCTCATCCATGGGCCATGGCTGTTCCTCTAGCCCTCCTCGTGGACGCATGCGCTTCTGGGGCAAAAACGAGGCTTCGTTCCTCATTTATCGTCCCTTCTGGTAGCACCTTGATTGTATCCGCGGGATCGCGCCCCAGAGTCCAGGCCGCGAGGGTGCGCATGCGGTTATGTCCGCCGCGCGCCAGCAGCAGCGCCGCCGCCGCCCTCCGTGGCGTCCGCAGGCGGTGAGGCGAGGCCCGCAGGGCGGCGCGCTGGCGAAGGCGTCGCCGACCGCGTCCGTCGGGCGCCGCGTTGGCGCCGCGGGCGGAGGGCGCAGCCGCGCCCGCCAGCTGCAGCCGCGCCAGCTGCACGCCGCGTGTGCGCGTGCGCGCGTGCGTGCGTGCGTGCGTGCGTGCGCGCGTGCGTGCGTGCGTGCGTGCGTGCGTGCGCGTGCGTGTGCGTGTGTGTGTGTGTGTGTGTGTGTGTGTGTGTGTGTGTGTGTGTGTGTGTGTGTGTGTGTGTGTGTGTGTGTGTGTGAGTTTGTGTGAGTCTGTGTGTGTGTGTGTGTGCGTGTGTGTGTGTGTGTGTGTGTGTGCGTGTGTGTGTGTGTGTCGATTCTCCCTGTCCTGCCCTTCGTTTCCCCCTCTTCCCGCTCGCGAGTACCCCCTTGCGATTCTTGCGGCCGCTTCTCGATGATGGCCCTATGGGCGGATGCCTTGTCTCCGCGCTTTGCGAACTGGTCCAGCCCGCGCGCGGTCGCGTTAATTGACCTGCGCCGCGCCGCCGCGTGGCCGCGATGTCAAAGATGTGTAAGCGCGTGTGCGTGTGTGTGATTGTGTACAGTCGGACCGAGGTATACGATCAAGGTTGGTTCGGGGAGGGTACACGTGTGCTCTTTGTGTCTGTCGGATGTTCTGGTGCATCCTGGGTTGGGCACCCTGGGGTGTTCTGTTTGTTTTGGCCGACGGAAGGTCTCGTGTTCTCGGAGGATGCTCTTCTGGCCTATTATCAGATTGTGCAGGGGGATATTCAGAAGGGCTTGCGGGCTTCTGAGACGCCGCCATCCTTCGTCGGACCCCCCCGCTTTGTCAGAAGGCCGCCCCTCTCGCGCCAGCATTCTCCGCCGACATGTGGCCTCCAGTGAACAGCTGACGAGGCCCAGATGGCCCCTGGGGGATTCGAAACAGCGCGACACGCTGGTGACACTTTGGCCAGGAACAGCTCTTGGCAACACCAGATCGGGCGGTCGGTCGGATTGTCGTTGTGTCATCGTTTGTTGTCGGTCATCGTTTGTTGCCCGTCGTCCGTCATCTGTCGTGCCGTTGCCGTCGTCATTCGTCCGTCGTCCGTCGTCGTGGTCGTCCGTCCGTTTGTTCGTCCACGTCCGTCCGTCGTCGTTGTCGTCGTCGCTGCCACTGTCATCACATTCGTCGTCGTCGCCGACGACGGCCGCGGCATCTCGAGGCGTTTCCGAGATCGCGTCAAGCGCCTCCTCGGCGTCACCTCGTTCCGGGAGGCGTTCCGGCATCGCGTCGGCGTTCCGGACACTACGAAGGCTCCGAAGGGGGGAGAGGAGCTATGAGGATCAAGGCTTTTGGACGCTTGTGGCTTCCCGTTTTTGGATTTGGAGGCTCCAGAGGCCCCGCCTCCACGGCCTTCTGGAGTTCTGCAGGCACCTCCTGGGACCAGAGGCCCCAGGGGGGGCGGCGACGGGGAGACAGGGAGAGCAAGGGAAGGTAGCGGGACGGCGGCAGGGGCACATGTCGCTATGAAGCAGAGGGGCCCTGAGGTTAAGTCGGGCCTGTCCCTCTTCTGGGCACGATTTTTTGACCAATTTTGAGCATGTTGGGAGTACGTTCTGCGTATTTATCACTTTCGCCCAGCATCCCCCTGTGGGGGGACAGGCCCGCCCTGACCCTGAGGGAGACGTGCTGATTGATGTCCTGAGTTCCCCTGGCTCCCGAGGCCCTCCGTGGGCCCTGGGGCCGTCGACGAAACGACTCGCGACGGGAAGCTGGTGCCGGGGGAGGCCGCCGGGGTCCAGGACCCGCTTCCCCCCCGGAGCCGCTTCTTCCGCTCGGCGGCGAGCGAGGGGGGAGGCGAGAGGGAGAAGGCCTTCTTACAAGGCGGCGGCTTCCTGTGTCCTCGGGGAAGGCTCAGAAGACTTCTCAGGAGGCCGCGGGACTTCCGAGCCTTCTGGGAAGGCCCGCCCCTTCTCACTTCTCCCCCCCTCGCTCGCCGCCGATTCGCGCAGGACGGTCACGTATTCCTCAACTATTTCGCCCCCTCTTCTCCCTTGCCTCCTCCGCTCTCTCCCCTCCTCCGTCTCCTCTCCCTCCTTCCCACGCCGGTTGGGCACGCGCGCCCTTGTCTTCCTGCGTTGCGTCATGGGGGGGCGATGCAAGGTGGGGTGAAGACAGGCGCGCCTTCTGTGCCCCTCGAGGGGCCCTCGAGGAGCCCCCTGGGGTCCAAAAGGGGCACGACAGGCTCACGTGTCTCCCCCGCCCCCGTAGATCGCCCCCCAGTGAAGCAGCGCGGAAGGCCCGGGCCTGCCAGATGCGCTTTCGCGCGCGCTCGGGGGCGCGGCCGCCGCACCCGGTGGCTGGATCGGCGGCGGCCGGGGCGGAACGTGGCGACACACGCCGCCGAGTGCTTCGGGTGCACGAGCTCGGCGGTAAGCCATGGAAGAGCTGTACGTCCTCGCAGCGCCGTCTTCGGAGTGCAGTAGCGTGCGCTAGCGTCTGGTGGTCGATGAGAGGGCGCCGACTTGCCGTCGATGAACTGGCGTCGATTCAGCGTCGGCCAGCATCGGTGAATGGTGCTTCGCAAGGGCCAGCGAAATGGCGTGGGGGCTCCCATGAGTTGCCACCGAAGAACGTGGCGATGCACTCCGCTGAGATCTTCGGGTGCACGAGGCCAGCCTCCGCAGCGCCGCAGAGGCCCTCCACGATCGAGCGCGGAGTGCCCCGAGGCTGGGGGCAGCCGGCGGCCGCAAGCGCCGTGGCGCTTGCGGCCGCTGGCTGCAGGACGCTGAAAGAAGGACCACCTCGGACTCAGGAGGGGCCATGGTTTTCGGGCCGTCCCTGAGATTAGGTCGGGGAGCGTATCCAAAGCCGAGGCTCGCCGTGGCCAGAAAAAACCTCGTTCCTTCTTCAGTGTTCTTATGGTAGCACGATGGCTGCCCCGCTGCTCGTCCTGGAGAGCCCTCGCCGCCACGGCTGGAGTTGCCTCGAAATCACGGACAGAGCGCACCGCAGGAGAGGTCCAGGGAGTGGCGGCATCGGTACTTCTAGCTTCCTCCGTTCGTGCCTGGTCCGGCCCCCGAGGAGGCGGCGGAGGATTGAGCGGCGGCCGAGGCTGCGGCGGCTTCCTCGGTGGTTCGCCGTCGTGGAGGCGTCTCGCCCATGATCCAGTTCCGTTCGCTTTAGCTGCGCTGCGTGGTCTTGCACGGCGACGGAATTGCAGTCATCGCGTGCACGACGGCATTTCAGCCCTCCCTCCCTCCTCTCTTCGGATGCAACTCTTGGGAGGTCAAGTTCTGACTTTGGTCCGAAATCCGGCTTAATCCCGTTTAATCCGGTTTGATCCCGCTTTATTCTGCCAGATCCTTTTCAATCCGCGGCCTATTTTGGTGTAGCAGCCCCCCACCGGGGTTTAATTCTCCTTAGCCCTTCAGACGAAGACCCCCCAGTGGTTGCCTCCTGACTTTCAATCTCTCTCTCTCTCTCTCTTCCGTCCTCCGTCCCCCTTCCCTTCCCGTCCCCCTCCGTTCTCCGTCCTCCTCCATCCAGCCTCCGCCTTGTGTGCTCCCCGCCGCTTCCCGACCCTCCCGTGAACCGCAGTAACGCCAGGCGGGATGGTGGAGGTGGTTTCCCTCTCGTGAGGTGCAGTGCGCCACCCAGGCCTGGACATCGTTTTCCTGCGAAGGGCATCCCCCAGGAGCCCCAGGGAGCAATCATCACCCCATTCCTTCCGGGGGAAATAGGTTTTCAGCATGTTCGTTTTTCCAGTCTTGACTGCCTCTAAGGCGGTCCAAGAGGCACCCAAGGAGGCTCCAGGACCGCTTGGGAGGCCCCAGGCACGGCCCAGGCGGGCCCCGAGACAGTCCGAGGGATTCCCGAGATAGCCTCGAGAGGGTGCCAAAACGGGACGTGGGGCACTATCTTTAGGTCGGCATGTCCCTCTACAGGCTGATTTTGGACGACGAATTCAGAATATTCAAATCGTCCCCTGAATCTTTTTTGACTATTTTTGAATATTCCTCTTGTAGAGGGGCAGGCCCGACTTAACACTATCTCGGGGGTGCGGCTCCCACAATGCCCCTGACACCTTCCAGGGAGCCTTCAGGACGCTTCCAGGAGTCCCCAAGGGGCGCCCTGAGTCCGTGCAGGAGGCTCCCGGGAGGCCTCCCAACACGCCCCAAGAAGCGTACGAGACGTCTCGCGTCCATATCCTGCTCGGCGTTCCCATTGAGGCTTCCATAGGCCCCAAACTCACGATACGTGTCAGAGCTTCACGAGGCTCCTGAGATGCACGCTGCGAGGCCCCGACAGGCACCCAAGACGCCCTGATCTCACGATCCAGGTAAGGGGTGTGCCTGCATGGGCTGTGCGGCGGGATGCGAACCTTGGCTCTGGGGCTGTCGGGTAAGCCCCCAGAAGGGTACGATCCGTGTGCGGAGGCAGTCAACATACACAAGGGGACGTGACGTTATGCGACTCCCACCAGGGCCGCACGTGAAACTACATCCATTTGGTGTACGATCCGTGTGAAGGGTTTGCCGATGTAGATATGGGGGGAAGGACGCCATGCAGTTTTTGATCCTGGCTCCGAGAGTGGAGCTCACGGGGGGCACGCTCCATGAAGGCCGTGCCGAAACTGGCGGGGGGACGCTTTGTGAACCCTGCCTTCCTCTGGGGCCGTAGGTCTCGACTCAATCCGCGTGATTGGTGCCGTCTTATTTCCAGTTCAAATCATGATTGGGTTACTATTTCACTTGAGCTGTGACCGAATCGCCCAGTGCACGTTAGTGGTTATGAGCAGGAAGGAGGAGGAAGGAGTAGAAGGTATTTCAAAGTCTCTGCGCCCGGCTCGCATCGGAAAGATTGAGAACGCAGGGTAGATGGGGACGCCAGGGCCCGGAGAGGGCCCCCAGACGCCCCGCGTAAATGCTGGGGTGCCCGGGGCCCCGGGCCTGGGCAGGGAGTCCCAGATTTTCCCAACGACATGTTTGACCCCTTCCGGGGATTCTTGGGCCTCCCCCCCGCCGTTCAAGACAGCTCCGGGGACCACCAAGTCGCAGACAGTGCGGCCTGACAGGGCCAAAGATGCCCTAATGTTGTTTGAAGACGGCTCACGAGGCCCCGAAGACGTCGAAAGCTCCAAGATGCGCCCCGATAGGGCACCAGGAGGCCGGTTCTTGACAGCGTCCAGAAGGCCTCACATATCGCCCCAGGACGGCCCAAGAGGTCTCCAAGAGAGCCCAGGACAGTCCAAGAGAGCCCCAAGACGGTCTAAGAGGCGCCCCAAACAGCCCAAGAGGGCCCCAAGAGGAGTCCAAAAAGGGAAATTCCAACCGACATTTCGAGCCCTCTGCCTGGAGTGGGCCCCCGAGGCCGCAGAAGGCGCCAAGGGGCCGCCAAGGGCTCCAAAAGAGGCACCAAGAGGCCAATAGGGCCCACATGAGGCCACAAGATGCTTCAACAGGCTCCACCAGGCGCCCGAGAAGCATGCCAAGAGACCCCGAATCACAGGTATCCAAGGATCCTCTGGCCCAGAACTCATGCACATTACGGGCCGAAGGCCATCGATAAGTAAGCAACTGGCTTGGTCACGGACCCATCCCTATGCAGCCGTGTTTAGCGCTGGGCGCAGGTCTTCTCTTCATACACTGCGTGCTGCTGGGCAATGCGGAAAGATGGCTGCTGCGGAGCATGCGTGCCCGGTTGCGCTGAATCCCTTGTGGGGAACACTCCGCGTGAATTGTGTGCCGAGTAAGCCAGATGCCCCCGCGCGAACGCGCCCACTGAGGCCGCATGTGGACCTCCTCCAGGCACGAGCCGTGCGAGGCATGTTCCGAAATGGGCGGGGGGGGCGCCATGCGAAGCTAGCCATTGGTGTCACAGGTGTAGCTCCTTCTGTAGCATGATTCGCGTGACGGGTGTGCCAGCATGGGCAGGGGAGTGCCGTACGAATTTGTCTTTGGGCCTTTCGGTGGCGCTCTTTGTGGGCACGATCCGCGTTACGGGGTGTGCAACAATGGCCAGGGGGGCGCAGTGCGAGCCTTGCCTCTGGGGCCGTAGGTGGAGATCCCTGTGGGCCACGATCCGTGTGAGAGGTGTTCCGAAGTAGACGGGGGGCGGGATGCGAACTTTGTCTCTGAGGCCGTCCGTGGATTTTTTTGCGGACCACGATCCGTGAGAGCGGTGTGCCGAAGTGATCGGGGCGACGCTATGAAGCGACACCCTGGTGCCGCAAATGCAGCTACTTGCGGAGCACGATCTGCTGCGTGAGGGGCGTGCCATTATGCGAACCTTTTTTCAGGGGACGTAGGTGAAGCTCCCTGTGGGGCGCGATCCCTGCTAGGGCGGGGGAACGCTATCCAAGCCTTTTTCTGGGGCCGCAGGTGGAACTTTTTGAGGGGCACGAACCGTGCGACAATATATGACCTCCGATACCGAACACTTAGACTACAACTGTAGCTTGCTAGAACCTAAGAGTGCTTTAAGCGCGCGTGGTTATTGTACATGTGCATGTATGTATGTATGTATGTATGTATGTATGTATGTATGTATGTATGTATATATATATATGTGTGTACACATACTGGGGTACAGGATGGGGGCCTCGGGGGCCAGCGCCTCGACGGGGCATGGGGTCCACGGCTCGCTGGAGCCGTTCTGGAGGAAGCCCGGGCGGCTTCGAGATGTGCCAAGATCCCCCCCAGGCGTGCCTAGCGTGGTCCACGACGGCAACCACTCGTCGACAGATCGCCCCAAGACGCCCAAGATGCCTCCTAGAGAGCCCTACAGGCCGCCAAGACGCTCACAAAGGCCCCCGAGAGGCTTACCCGCAGGGCCCCAAGACCCTAAAATCATTGATTGATTTTCCAGAGGAAATTATCCCAGTGCGACCCTACCTAGGAGTTGGAGCTTCTAGGAAAGCAACATGCTATGCTATGCTCTGCTATGCTATGCTATGCTATGCTATGCTATGCTGCGCAATGCTATGCTGGGCTAGGCTAGGCTATGCTGTGCTATGCTATGTTATGCTATGCTGCGCTATGGTATGCTGCGCTATGCTATGCTATGCTGTGCTGTGCTGTGCTATGCTATGCTATGCTATGCTATGCTATGCTATGCTATTATATGCTATGCTATGCTATGCTATGCTTTTGCTTTGCCTTCGCTTGTGCCTTCACTGTTGCCTTTGCTTTGGCTTTTGCTTGGCACCAAGGGAGCGCAACTGGGGGAACCGCACGTTTGCCTTTACCTTTGCTGTTACTTTTGCTTGACCCCCAGGGGACTGGGGAACCGCCCGGGGCGCTTTCCACTGCCTGGCCCTTTTGAGCAAAGAGAGTAAGAACCTTCTAGGCAGAGCCTAGGTAGGGAACAAACACTACGCTATGCTATGCTGTGCTCTGCTATGCTAAAACTCAGCGAAGCTAAGATGAAGGTAAGCTAAGCTGATGATAAACCTGAGCTAAGATGAAGCTAAACTAAGCTAAGATGAAATAAGCTAAGTTAATATGAGATAAGCAACGCTAAGCTAAGAGGACGTAACTGGGGGAACCGCGTGGCGGATACTGGGGGAACCGCCTGGGGCGCTTTCCACTGCCCGGCCCCTTTAAGCCCAGAGAGTAAAAACCCTTCTAGGCAGAGCCTAGGTAGGGAACGTATGATTTTTTGGCCTTCACGGCGTTGACGACGGCCCAATAGGTTCCCAAATGTAGCCCCAAGACGGCCCCAGAGGCTCCCAAGAGGCCCCTAAGACGGCCCAAGGGGGCGCCAAGACGGCCCAAGAGGCGCCCAAGGAGGCCAAAGGGCCCCAAGGCGGCCCCAAGAGGGACCCAGGAGGGGGACAACACTGCAAATTCCGGGATTCCGCCCGAAAAAGCAATTCCTTGGAGGCCCCACCCAAGAAGCCCCAAGAGGCCACCAAGGGGCCCCAAGAGGCCGACCAAACCTGCCCCGAGAGGCTTCGAAACTGCTTCCAAGAGGCAGGATGGGCCGAAGGCCCGGAGGGACCAGGAGGGGGTCCATCGGATGACGACATTTGTAAGATCACCTGACTGCACCATCTTCCTGCTCTTCTTCCTCTTCGGTCTTTCACAGGTTTCCCGTCTAGTTTTTTTTAAGGCGCGAGGGACCGCCCCAACATCGCGACGACGACGACGACGGAACGCCCCAAGCAGGCCCCCCCAAGACATTCCCACAATTCATGTTCCCAGCTGTCCTTGCGGGAACATGATTCATCGGGATCCCAACATGGCTCCTCAAGATGCGACCACGACGACGACGACGGACCGGCCCAAGCAGCCCACAAAGACATTCCCAAAGATCATGCTCCCAGAAGTCCTTGTGGGAACATGATTTTTCCCCCAGGCATGGCCGACGCCAATGACGCAGCGCCTTCAGCAGCCCTCCAAAATAGGAGTACGCCCAAAAATCATGTTCCTAGAAGGCCTGCCAGGAACATGATCCATCAGGCCCCCAACATGGCTTCCAAGAGGCTATGATGAAGACGGAACGCCCCACGCAGTCCTCCAAGACACTTCCAACGTTCATTTTGCCAACAAGCCTTCCGGGAACATCATTCCTTGCGCCTTCAAAAGGGCTCCCCAAGAGGCGACGACAACGACGCAACGCCCCAAGTAGGCCCCCAAGACACTTCCAAAAATCATGTCCCCAGAAGGCTTTCCGCCAGGCCCCGACAATGCCGTCTGGCACTCGAATCATCTTTGATTTGGTTGAGCCTGTTCGAGCTCAACAGGGTGAACGCAACTCGTCAATCCCGGCTTTCCGCTCCAAGGGACCCCCAGGAGGCCCCAGGAGTCCCTCAAAGAGCCTCCGCAACCATTTTGGCTCGAGCCGCTTGTTGCTCAGGCTGCAATCCTGTCGCCCACGGGTTTTCTCCATCCTCCACTGAGCCTTGAGAGGGCCTCTCTCCCTCTCCCTCGAACTCTTTGCGAGGCCGCCCCTGCTGCGCCCAGGGGCTGCCCCGCTGCGCCCAACGATGGGCCCCCGTGCTCCCAGTTGCAGCCTCGCGCTCCCAAGGAAGCCGCCGGCTTTTGACCCGTCCTGCCCGGAGTGCGATGGGTTGCTGACGGAGCTCCAGGGCCTGGGGCATCAGAGAGGGGCGCACGGGCGCCAGCGCCGCGTACCGCCCACGTTCGGCCTCGGAGCGCGCGGGCCCGCCTGGTCTCGCAAGGAGGACGCCGTGAGGGCCCGCAAGCCGGAGCCCGAGGGCTTGGGCGGCTTCGGCGAGGACCCAGCCGGCCCAGAGCCCACGGCGGGGCCCTCCGCAGAGGCGCCCGCCACGCCCCGCCCGCCCCTGGAGGAGAACGCCCCGCACCGCCCCGGCGGGGACGGCCCGGAGGGCCCAGAGCCCACGGCGGGCCCGCCCGCCAAGGCGGCGGCACCGGGCCGCCCCCGCAGCGCGGGCGACCGTGCGTCCAGGGCAGTGGGTGCGGCAAGGGCGGCGGTGATAGCTCTGCGCGCGAAGGCGATCGGCACGGCCTCCGTGTAGAAGTCCTTGCACGTCATCGAAGATGCCATGCCTGTTCTTCCAGGTTCTCAAGCGAAGGTCCTCGGCGTTGCCCGTCGTGAATTGAGGTATTTTGAAGGAATCTCGGGCCGGACGAAAGGTGGGGATTGGGAAAAGGGGGGGTACGAAATCTGCTTCATGCAGCTGGTTTCGGCCCCACCGAGGGGCCATTCCTCGATGCATGGCCGCCTCCGGCGCCGGGAGGCGCCAAACAAAACAGCTACGTGAGCTAGGTCTTCCCCCCCCCCTTTGAATCGTGTGCCGTCTTGAGCTAGCGGCCCCGCGAGCAGGTCCGCAGACAGCATCCCTCGCTGAGACCCGTCACGCAGCAGGGACGCCAGCTGCGTAAGAGTCCCGTTGCAGGCTTGCGCACTGCCACGAATAAGACATCTCGCCGCTAGCATGGTCTTTGTGGATGCAGACAACGTGATCTTACTTTCTACTTATGAGATGTCTTATTCATGTCATGGCCCGTATCGACCAGCCGACTCCTTTCTGTGCAAACTCATCCAACGCATCGCGACTGTAATTCCCAGCTTTGTTGGATATCCTAGTGCTTGCGTGAACGCAGTGGCACTTCCAACGTGTGTGTCTGCTTGCATTATCGCTGTCACTGCTAGCATGCGCAGGTGAGCGGCCGTGGTGAAACAACATCGCGTTACCATCGCTTTTGCATGTGCAACTATGTCAGCGAGAAGGCCGCTCCGCGCACAATCTAATACCTTTCAACCCGTGGGCAAACTCTTTTGCTTGCCAGCCCGGATGGTCCTACGTGCCTGATGTGGTTGTGCCGCCACCGTTGAAGATTGTGAATAGGAGACCTTGCAGGCAATTGGCGGGAAACAACCACGTTTACGTGATTTCGCGTTGGCTCGTATCTTCGGAGTTCCAGGCGCTTTGCCTTTCCCGGCCTCGCCTGTGCTTGCGCGGTTCGCGGCATGTGCCGTCCGTGCGCGATGTCTCCCTAGCGATCCTTCTCGCGGGAGCTTATGTAAGGCTTTGGAGGCGAGCCTCGATACACGGCGAACTCTCTCCAATTGGCCTCATTTTTCTGTGAATTCCTTGGAGGGATTCCCTTGCGAAGGAGGAGACGGAGGATGAGAGAGAGGAAAGGAGGGACGACTGGGTGTTAGCAGGGGTGGAGAGGAGGAGGGGCAAGACGGTCAGTGGAGAACTGCAGCACGCAGAGGACCTTTTCAGAGTGGCGCTCTCTGGAGGGCCTCTCCTCTGAGATCCTCCCCCTTTTGAATCGTGCGCCGTCTTGAGCTAGCGGCCCCGCGAGCAGGTCCGTAGATAGCATCCCTCGCTGAGACCCGTCACGCAGTAGGGACGCCAGCTGCGTAAGAGTCCCGTTGCAGGCTTGCGTACTGCCACGAATAAGACATCTCGCCGCTATCATGGCCTCTGTGGATACAGACAACGTGATCTTACTTTCTACTTATGAGATATCTTATTCATGTCATGGCCCGTATCAACCAGCCGACTCCTTTCTGTGCAAACTCATCCAACGCATCGCGATTGTAATTCCCAGCTTTGTTGGATATCCTAGTGCTTGCGTGAACGCAGTGGCGCTTCCAACGTGTGCGTCTGCCTGCATTATCGCTGTCACTGCTAGCATGCGCAGGTGAGCGGCCGTGGTGAAACAACATCGCGTTACCATCGCTTTTGCATGTGCAACTATGTCAGCGAGAAGGCCGCTCCGCGCGCAATATAATACCTTTCAACCCGTGGGCAAACTCTTTTGCTTGCCAGCCCGGATGGTCCTACGTGCCTGATGTGGTTGTGCCGCCACCGTTGAAGATTGTGAATAGGAGACCTTGCAGGCAATTGGCGGGAAACAACCACGTTTAAGTAATTTCGCGTTGGCTCGTATCTTCGGAGTTCCAGGCGCTTTGCCTTTCCCGGCCTCGCCTGTGCTTGCGCGGTTCGCGGCATGTGCCGTCCGTGCGCGATGTCTCCCTAGCGATCCTTCTCGCGGGAGCTTATGTAAGGCTTTGGAGGCGAGCCTCGATACACGGCGAACTCTCTCCAATTGGCCTCATTTTTCTGTGAATTTCTTGGAGGGGTTCCCTTGCGAAGGAGGAGACTGAGGATGAGAGAGAGGAAAGGAGGGACGACTGGGTGTTAGCAGTGTGGAGAGGAGGAGGGGCAAGACGGTCAGTGGAGAACTGCAGCACGCAGGGGACCTTTTCAGAGTGGCGCTCTCTGGAGGGCCTCTCCTCTGAGATCCTTCTTCCGCACCAGACCCTCACATGACTACTTGTGCGTGTAGACCGAAGGGTTGACAAACAATCTGACCACCGAACCCTCGCCTGTTTCAGAACTGTTGTGCGGGTCGTGTCTGTTTAATGTGTTGTTGCCAGCGACATTCTGATCTTACCGGGCAGAGTGTCTAAGCAATGGTTTGATGGCGAGTGCTGGGAGTAAATTGCTTGCCCCATAGCGCGACAAATTGTCACGAGTGGGCATTGTGTTCCACTCTTTCGCTTACGTGTGTAACCCGAGTGTTGTTCTTCTGTTTTGGTCTCCGTACATCGTAGGCTTATTTCCGTACTCTCTCCCGCCTTTATTTAGATCCTTCCTGTTTTTCCGTATTGTTTCTGGCTTTCCGGCGGCAGCCGTCCTTTTTTTTTGGGGTGGGGCGATAATTGTAAGCAGCCGTGGGCCGTGGGGTCGAATGTTTGTACGCTAGTTACCAAGCATGGCCAACATGTCAAGCGACTGCTGACGCCTTGAGAACACAAGAGTTGCTTCTAATTCGTTCTCCAGGCAGGGCTGGGGACAGTGACCCAGCATGCGGGTGCTGCTTCATGTGTGGGGAGTCGGCTGTCTGGGCGATGGCGCCGACAGCGGCTTCGAGAGCGCCGCATGAGAGGCCAAGAGCTCAAGCGCTGAGCGCGATGCAAAAACAACAAAGAGTCCCCCAAAGAGCCTGAAGAGGCACCCAAGATCCCCGAAGAGGCCCGAAAGTGGCCCCAAGAGGCCCCAAGACAGCCCCCCAGCCCCCAGCGGCCTCCAAACTGCCTCCCAACAGCCCCCTGCACGCATACTAGGTCCCCCCCGATTCCTGCGCACTACATGTCAGCAGGCCCCACTTGAAAACAAATAATTCCAGTGACACTCTTTTTGTTCAAGTTCATCCCGAGCCCCATCCAGACTTCGGGGTCACATTGCAAAGATTATTCGGGAATGCTGTTGAACTCTCTGACGCTGTCTTGGCACTCTCGTGGGTCGTCTTCGTGTCCTCTTGGCTGCCCCTGAAACCATAGCAAAAATCATGATCCCATGACTTCACTTGCCCAGCCTAGCTAGAACGTCAGCGCGCTGGCGCGCGCCAAGAAAGAGACAAAAGAAGGGACCTCCCAAAGCCTTACAAGCGCTTTGCCCCAAGGCGGCCCCAAGGTTCTCGCAAAGGCTCTCGAGGCGCCCCCCAGATGCCTTCAGAGACTCTGGGAGGCCCCCAGGAGGCAGCAAGAGCTTCCCAAGAGGCCCGGAACGACTTCCAAGACGCCGCCAAGAGACCCCAGGGGCGTCCCAACAGTCCACGGCCTGTATCCAGGAAGCTTTTGGCCCACGGCCCAGGCATGGCAATTTGAAAAAGAAAGGAATTCCTAGGATTCCTTGTTTTCCAAACTTACCCCCTGCTTATTTTTGCACAACAGACCATAAGTCAGACCCCCGTCACCGCCAGAAAAACATCCCGTGAAGCCTTCGAGGGCCCCAAATCATAGAACACCTAGAGGAAATTGATGATTTTGTGGTTTCCGCATTTTCCCTTCTGTACGCTTCCGAGGTTTGCGCAGGGACTCGAAGAAGGTCGTTAGATGCACAAGGCGCTCCAACAATTGAGATTCCATGCGTTGGTCTGTCGACCCTAGCCAGACCTTGAGCGCGCGCGAAGTGCGGGCGACGGTCCTAGTATGCATGCATGTATGTATGTATGCATGTATGCGTGTATGCATGTATGCATGTATGCATACATGCATGTATGCATGTATGCATGTATGCATGCATATATTTATTTATATATATATATATATATATATATATATGTATGCATGCATACATGTATGTATGTATGCATTCATGTATATATGTATGTATGCATGCATGTATGTATGTGTGTATGTAGGTGTGTGCGTATGTATGTATGTATGCATACATGTATGTATATATGTATGTGTGTATGCATGCATGTATGTATGTAGGTAGGTAGGTAGGTCGGTAAGTAGGTAGGTAGGACGGTAGGTAGGTAGGTAGGTATTATGAATGTATGTTTGTGTATGTATGTATGAATGCATGCATGCATGGATGCATGTACGTAGGTATGCATGCATGTAGGTATGTGTATGCATGCATGCACGCATGTTTGTGTGCATGCATGCGTGCATGCATGCATGCATGCATGTATGTATGTATGTATGCATGTGTGTATTTATGTATGTATGTATGTATGCATGCTTGTATGTATGTGTGCATGTATGTATGTATGCATGTAGGTATGTATGACGGTGTGTATGCATGTATGCATGCATGTATGTATGTATGCATGTTTGTATGTATGAACGTATGTATGTGTGTATGTATGCATGTATGTCTGTATGTATGTATGCATGTATGCATGCATGCATGTATGTATGTATATATGTACGTCCGTCTGTGCGCATGTATGCATTCGTGTATGTATGTATATGTATGTATGTATGTATGTATGTATGTATGTATGTATGTATGTATGTATGCATGCATGCATGTATGCATGCATGCATGTATGTATGTATGCTTTGTGCTTGCACATTAATGATCTGTTGCTGCGTTCAGTGCCGTATGTTGTACTTATGCTCAAGTTTTTTCCAGGAGAGGTTTTCCCTGATGGGGGCTCAGTCTGCCCTCATCGAGACCTTCCAGTCCGCAGGGATCCGCGCCTTCGAGCTGCTGGCGCTGCGACAGTCCCTCCTCTCGGCGGTGCCGCCGTGCCCCGCTGTCTCGCTGGCGTGCCCGCCCGCGAACGTCACGTGCCCCATCCAGGTCTGCCCAGCACTGGCCTGCCCCACGCCAGCGTGCCCCGTGCCGCTGGTGAACCTCTCCTGCCCGCCTGCAGGAGTGGAGCTCGGCCCTGACGGGCTCGACGTTCCCTCGGCCTGCTGGGGCTACCTGGCGGGAGTCTCGGCAGGGCTCGGGCTGGGCGGAGCAGTCTGGCGGCGGGGCGGCCGCACCGACGCCGAGGCGACAGCGGTGGGAGACCGAGCTCGAGAGCAGTTGCAGCTAATCAGGAGGCGCAATGGCGAGAGTAGGTGACTACGTGCTGTTCCAGTATGACTTACCTGGACCGCCGGTGTATCATGAGAGGCTCGTGACTGGTGTTTCAATAGGGGATCCAGGTCTTGTCAGTACGGTTTCGCCAGATGGAGACCACTATGCAGGGTACACGACGTCTGATGACCTCAGGGATGTGCGGTGGTCGGGGGCGCAAGGCGCGACCCCACCTGGAGTCAACCCAGCCCACGTCTACCGCTTCCGCCAGGTGCCGACGGCGGCAGAGGTCCAGCAGCTCATCCGCGAAGGCTCGCTCCTCGTCGGGGGAGTGGCTCCGCTTGCTGCCGATGCTCCCGCGGCCGCGGCAGCGCCCGTGGCGGCTCCTCCCGCGGTGGCTGCACCACAGGGAGCCATCGTGCCTCGCGGCGCCGGCGTGGTGGGCGGGGTCCCGCGCGCTGGAGCCGCGCCCGCCCCCGCATTGGCTGGCACGGTGTGGCTGGCGATCGAGGACTTCCAGGGGTTGCGGCGCGGTGAGCAGATGCCTGACCCTCTCCCTCAGGGCGCCGTCATTCACGGGGAACTGGCGCTGGTTCCTCATGGTGGGGGCTTCGTCGGAGCTCGACGGGTTGCCCTGGCCGACGTGGACGCCTTCGTGGTGGACGACCTACGCGTGCTGCCCGTGCGTTTCAACCAGCAGGGGGCGCGCCGCCGCCCATGCAGTGAGGCCGTGGACATGCAGATCGTTGACGAGCCTGAGGGTGGCATCATGCTTCAGGGCCCGCGCACTACGGATTGGGTGCTGAGGTCGTATCGTGACGCTGGGCTCACGCCAGTCACTCATCATTCGAACTGGCTGAGATCGGCACGCATCCCTGATGGAGATCACTCGGTTCACGAACACGAGGTGCTGTGCCACGTGCTGGAGGCCATCGTGACCGTGGACCAACTCAACGCCCCAGCGCTCCAGAGCGCGGAGCTCGTCGTGCGCAGGATCCAGGTCATAGAGGACGCTCACTCGGCATCTCCCTCGAACCCCGACTACTCCGCGGCCGACGTGTTCATGGGCTGGGCCACGCATCGCCAAGGCGCCGCGGTCGCCCCCGACCTGCAGCGTCACGTGGCCGCGGGCATGCGCGACAGGGCCGCGATCCTCAAGGAGGCTCGCAAGGCGAAGGAGGAGCAGAAGCTGCGCCGCGGCAAGGGGGGCGGCAGGACCGACGCCAGCGGTACTGGCGGGCAGGGATCATGACGGCTCCCAGTCGCGGGGGCTGGCCGGCCCGCGACGGACGCAAGGCCTGTGGTGCCTCGGCGGCACGCTCCTTCCGTCCTCGCACTGTTCCTGGCGCTGAGGGTCGTGGGGTACCGACCGACTGTGGCCGTGGGGGCCCAGCGGCACGCACCTCACGCCCTCCAGCCAGGGCAGGCCTCGGGGATCGCAATGTAACGACCGTCCGAGGATCGTGTGACATGGGGCGCCCTCCTGGGCTGAGAGCAGCTGATGATCGCCAACGTGATCTGTTCCCGCTGCCCTCCATTCAGCCGACTCCGCCTACTTCTGCGCCAGCGTCTACGTCGACGAGGCGAAGGCTGGCTCATAGGCGGCAGACGGAGCAGTGTGCCAATGATGCCATTGCGGGTCTCAACGCTCTCCATCCTCCCTGCGAGCAGCGTGGGCCCATCACGGCGGCCCAGCGACTCGCGACCGCCGCCATTTTGAACGAGGTCAGGATGGCCCCGAAGTCTGACATTCATTTTTCTCGCCGTGGAGCCGCGAAGGAGCTCCTGGCTTCCAGCCTGTCCTACACCGCGGACGAGGCACCGAGTCCTGTGGTAAGGTACGTCAGATCCCGAGTCGACATCCCAGAAGTGGGTGCGGTCATACCTCCTGTCGAGTCGGTGCTTGACGGGATCGGGAGGAGTTACGTGCTGGACTACGAGCAAGCGATGATGAAGACTCCTGACTCCTGACTCCTGGATAGCGAGCCGCCCGTCACTCCCTATATGGACGAAGTTTTGAAGCGTGACCCTGTGGCGTAGCATACCTTCATCGGCGACCTGGTGAAGGCTAACATGCTGGGGCTCACGCATCGCCCGAAGGACCTGGTCACCCCTTTCTTCGTGGCCAAGAAGAGTGGAGCACAGCGTCTCGCATGGGACGCTAGAGTGCCAAATCGACGTTTTCGCGACCCGCCGCCGCTGGCCATGGGGACATCGGCTGCGTATGGTCGCCTCCAGCTACCTGATGATGGTGAGGAGGACGGCAGCTTCAGCACCAAGCTTTTCTGCGCCCAGGCGGATGTGCGCAACTACTTCTACGCTCTCGGCCTGAGGGAGGAGTTGGGACTGTTCTTCTCGCTGCCGCCGGTGTCGCAGGCTTCGTTGTCGCAATGGGGGGTTGAGGCAGTGGACACTCCCGAGGGCCCCTCAGGGGGCTGGGTGTGGCCGTTCCTGCGGGTCGTTCCGATGGGCTGGTCTTGGGCTTTCTGGCTTGGGCAGCGTGCGAACGCGCACGTCTGCTGCTCTGCCTCGGGGCTCGGGTTCCCGCGGGTGCTGACCGATCACGGTCCGGTGCCCCCGCTCGACGGGGGGGTCCCTTGCCTCCTCCCCTATTGCGATAACATCAACGTCATCGGCACCGACCCTGTCAGATGCAATGCCCTGATGCACCAGATCTGCGACGCCTGGAAGAAGCATGGTGTGCAGATCCACGAGGTGGTTGAGGCCACTGACGTCTTCGCCAGCCTCGGCCGCCTGATCGATGGCGCGTCTGGGCGAGTTTTCTCACGGCCCGAGCGCTCGGAGCGCCTCCGCCAGGCCTCACTGTGGCTAGAGCAGCGCCCTAGAGTCACGGGGAGGGAGGTGGAGAGGTACGTGGGTCATCTCATCGATCATTTGATGTTGAAGAGGGAGCTGCTCTCGATCCTCAGGAGTTTGTATGATTTCGTCAGGGATTGCTATAATGTGCGAGCCCGTCTCTGGCCCTCAGCTGCCCGCGAAGTCGAGCAGTGCCGTCGCCTGCTGCCGCTGATGTCGGCTAATCTTCGGCTTCAGCGGTCGCCGACGGTATTCGCTCATGACGCTTGCCTGGCGGGTATGGCGACGTGCCAGACAACACTGTCATCAGATCTCGTCAAACGTATCGGGTCAGTCAGTGAGAGATGGAGATATCGCATGCCTTCGGCTATCTCGGCACGCCGTTCCGCTCTGGGAGTCCGTTCTGGAGGCTACGAGGCCTCGGAGGGGCCCTTCGACGTCTTCAGCGACATCGAGACCGTCAAGGCCCCCAGGAGCACCAGCATGGACCTCGTCAAGGACCCCTGGGAGCTCAACCCGCAGTTCACAGAGGTGCCCGTACAGGCTCTGCAGGGCCCCCAGTGGAAGCAGGTGGTCTCGGCCAGGGTTCACGTCAAGGAGCCCATCGCGATTATCGAGGGGAGGGCTTCAAACATGACATCTCGTCACATCACAAGGGCCCAGGCCTCTTTTGGTCTCCGTCATCTACGTTTCGGGGACAACCTCGGCACCGTGCTCGCGCTCGGACGTGGGCGATGCCCCTCCTATCCCCTTCTGCTGTGCTGCCGCAGGGAGGCCGCTTATTCCGTCGCCACTGCGTCGCGGTTCGAGCATCGGTGGATACCTTCGGAGCTCAACCCCTCCGATGAAGGGTCGAGGCGCTGGGGCGCCAAGTCGGGAGGTATCTCGCCTGCCCCGTGCGGTGTCCGTCTGGCGCCTGGCTGCCCGCCCCGAGATCGCGCAGAAGAGCCTTGTGAAGGGCAGGACGTTCGTTGGGGCGACGAAGGAGGTGAGGATCGCTCACCGTCTGCGGGCCCATGGGGCTTTGACGATGGTGGGGGAGGACGAGAGGAGCGTCCTGGACTGGAACGCGGTGGCCCCCGAGACCCTGGCCTACTACAGGGACACTTTCGACGGCTTCCAGATGATCGTGGGCCTCTTCGAGCTGCCGCTGCCCACCGCTGCGCAGGTCGTCTTGGCGCCGATGAACTACGCCGACTACGCCTGGAGCATCGGGCTCGAGAGAGCTGCCGTCCTGAACGCATATGCCGCGTACATCTCGGCGCACCCCGACTTTTCCCGAAAGAAGTCGCTCCGCCTGCCGCGTCTCTATCGGGCCCTCCAGGGCTCGAAGCGCCTGGTCCCAGGCCAGACGCGCCCGACCATGCCCTGGCATGTGGTCGCGCTGGTCGCACTGGTGATGGCCATGCAGCGGGGGTCCCAGCACGCAGCGCTCATGGTGGTGACAATGTTCGGGGTGTACCTCATGCCCTCCGAGGACGTCGGCCTGCGCGAGCAGGACCTCTTCCCCCCCTTGGGCTTGTGCACGGTCCACGGCTTCAACCTGCACCCCATCGCGATGGGCGAGTACAGCAAGACCAGCTTGTCGGACGAGAGCCTGCCCCTCAGCTCGGTCGAGGTGCCCTGGCTGGGCCCGCGGCTGGCGCGCGCGAGGTCGGGGGACCCACAGGCGACGCGGTTTCGTCTCACCGCCGCGCAGCTCGTCGTCCAGTGGCGCCAGTCGCTGGAGCGCGCCGAGGTGCCCACCAGGTACTTGCCCTACCAGCTCCGCTACGCGCAGGCCACCAGGTACGTGCCCCCCAGGTACGCGCCCACCATGGACGCGCAGGTTGCGCCCGCGCCCAGCAGGTGCCGCCCCGCTCCTTCTGCCAAGGTGCCTCAGCCCGCGCCCGTGCCAGGCCTTTCGTCGAACTCATGTGCGGCTCCGCCGCCCTGGCCAAGGCCATCCACGCCGCCGGCTGGGCTTCGGAAGGCTGGGACTACGCCGACGACCCGCGAGCCGACCTTCTTGAGGAGTCCTTCATCGACACTCTGGTATTGAGGATATCAAGGGAGGAGGTCGCGGGGGTGCATGTCGGCCTGGACTGCAAAACGTGGGGCCGGGCAAGGAAGAATGATGGTCGGGGTCCGCCGCCACTCAGGGACGATGCGAATTTGCACGGCCTCCTTCTGTTGGCGGCGGCGGATGCTGAGAAGGTGATGATCGCCAATCGTCTGCTCGCTAATGTTCTGCGCCTGCTGGCGGCTGCCATCGAGGCGGGAATCCCCTTCTCCTTCGAGAATCCTCGCTCGTCTCGCCTCTGGCTGGTCCCGGAGCTTCTGGACATGGCCCGCGACGCTCACGCCGAATGGGCGTCGGTTGATTATTGCCAGTATCAGGTCCCCTGGAAGAAGTCGACTACCTTTTTGCTATTCAATTGGCTGCCAGCGCAGCCGTCCCTCCGCCTGTGCACAGGCTGTCAAAAAAGGTGTAGTGCAACGTGTAAGGCACACATAACACTGAAGGGTAAAGACCCTCTCGGTGTGTTCTGGACTTCGAGGGCGTGTCCTTACCCTGCGGCGCTCTGCAAAGATCTTGCTTCGCTGGTGGTGGCCAAGGCCAAGACACTTGATGGCAGTGGGTAGGGGCTCAGAGTCTTGAATGCCGCTCGCTCTGTCCGTTCAGGTCAGCTCCATCGAGCTGCCCTGTCACCGCCCGCCGCTCGTTCTCTTGATTTGCTTCGAAGCAGCGGAGCATGCCGAAGAAAAATGGATCTTGGCACGGGCACAGCCTAAGCTCATGCTTTGTGCTTGCACATTAATGATCTGTTGCTGCGTTCAGTGCCGTATGTTGTACTTATGTTCATTTTTTTTCCCGGACCCGCCAGCCTTCCCCATCTTCATCCTGCCTGGGCGTCACTTCGCCAACCCAGGGGGCTCAGAGTCTTGAATGCCTCTCGCTCTGTCCGTTCAGGTCAGCTCCATCGAGCTGCCCTGTCACCGCCCGCCGCTCGTTCTCTTGATTTGCTTCGAAGCAGCGGGGCATGCCGAAGAACAATGGATCTTGGCACGGGTAGCAGCCTAAGCTCATGTATGTATGTATGTAGGTATACACACATGTGTACACATATACATATACACCATGGTCTTCGGCCCATTTCACTACTGTGCCTGGATTGTGTGTCAGAGTCCTGAAGGTTGTCTCTTCGTGTTTCTTCGGAGCGCCCTCGGGGCTTGGGGGCAGTTTTGAGGCGGCGACAGTTTTGGAGCCTCTTGGGGTGCTTTTCGGAGCCGTATTGGGAGGCTTTTGGGGGTCTCTCGGGTCTCCTGGAAGCCTCTTGAGGTCCTCTTGGGGCCTCTTTGGGGCCTCTTCGGGGCTCTTGAGGGCCTTTCTGGGCTGAGGACTCGACATATCCGTTCGGGATTCCTGTCTGGGCCTCCTCGTGGAGCCGTCTTGAGGGCTTCTTGGGGGCCGTCTTGGAGGCCTTTTTGGCAGTCTTAGAGCCTCCTAGGGCCGTTTTGGGACCTTCTTGGAGGCCTCTTGGGCCGTCCTGGGTCGATCTTGGAGGCCTCTTAAGGCGTCTTGGAGCGTCGGGAAGTCGAAAAGGCGAGAAAACCAACAACATTGACACACGGTAAGAAGCATCAGTGATTTGAGCCTTTCGGGGTCTTGGGACGGCTGTCGGAGGCCTCTTGGGACGTGTTGGGCGCTTGTTCGGCCGACTGTCTCGGACCGACTGGTTGGCGATTCGGGGCCCTCTCGCGCCGTCTTGGGGGTCTCTCACGTCCCTCTTGGCCTCTCGAGGCCCGACCATACCATGTGACAAGACGCCGGGGACCCCAGGGGCTACGCGGCGCGCCCCAGGAGATCTGGCAATTTGGGGTCGGGACTCTTTTCAGAATCCGCAGGATTGAGGACTGAGGCTCCAGGAGATCCAGCAAGATACCTGAGAACACTCTCAGGCACACCTCGAATCGAAATAAATTGGCCCAGAGCGATGCGGAACGGTCTCAGAGCGTTCTGGAACGCTCCCAGAAGGCCGCGGCTTCCGATACATCCTCCAAACCCGCCGATCCTCTGAGATTTCCTATTGTAGTGGCCTCCGGCCAGTGCCGCCGATCCGGGGCGCTCTTAATCCTCCTACTCCTCCTCCTCTTGCTTCTCCTCCTCCTCCCGCATCCTCTTCCTTCTCCTCCTCCTTCTCGTGCGCTTTCCGCTCCTCCTTTCCCGCCTCGGTGTCCTCCTACTCCTCCCTCATCTCCTCTTCTTCCTCCTGCTCTACGTCTTGTTCCCCCATTTTTTTTATTTTTATATGCAAAAAACGTGCTTCCTCTCCTGATCCTTTTTTTTTGTTTCTCCTCCGAGAGCGTCTCGTCGTTCCTCGAGGACCGGCCCACCCTGTCCTGGCCCCGTCTAGGGGCTAATAGAGAGCCCTTAGGGGGCTTCAAGATAGCCTCAAGAGGGCTCTAAGAGAAGGAGGCCCAGGTCTCATTGAACCGCTGTTCTCGATGAGACCTGGCGCGCTCCTCCTGGAGCCCTCTTGGGGTCCTCTTGTCCCACTCCTGGTGCCCCTCGAGAGCCCTCTCACACTGTCTGGGTCGGCTCTTCTGGCTCCGAGAGATTTCCAACCGGGCCTTACGAGGGTTCCAAGAGGGGTCCCAGAGAAACCAAAATGGACTTCAGGAGAGTCCCAAGAGGGGCGCGCGAGGTCTCATCGGTCCCGGGACCCGGGACCGGCGCATGCAGGAGCCTGGACCCGGACCGGCGCACCGGGTTTCGCGCCGGTCCCGCTTCCCGGGTCTCGCGCAGGTCCCGGGTCCCGGGTCCCGCGCCGGTCCGGTCCCGGGTCCCGGGTCCTGGGTCCCGAGCCGGTCCCGGGTCCCGGGTCCCGCGCCGGTCCCGGGTCCCAGGTCCTGGGTTACGCGCCGGTCCCGAGCCCCGGGTCCCGGGTCCTGCCTTGAGACTCCAAGGTCGATCTATAGTGCGGGGTCGAACTATAGATCGACCTGGCACTTTCCTTGGGTCGCACTATAGTCCAACCCATGATTTTTGGCCAGGTCGTACTTTTCTTCGCTCGCGCATTGTTAAGGATCCCCTGAGTGAGGGGGCATGCGTCCCCTGAGCGAGGGGTATCGGCTGCATCACATTGCGCGCATGTTACAACATCCCGCAGCTGCGAAGGCTCGAGGGCACATAGCGCTACTCTTGCTTGCGCGCACTGGGGGTGGGCAATGGTCAAGGGCAAGACGGAGGTGAAGATACGGGCTTCTTCTGTGACAGAGGAACAGTTGAAGCCGCTCGTGAAACAGCACATTGATCTCATCGAAAAATGCCAACTGCAAGGGGGCATAGATGACTTCATGAAGAACAACATGCCGTTTCTCTTGCCGCTTGCGCAGCTCACCACACGCGTCAAATGGAAGAACCTCCAGGACGTCGTGTTGAAGCAGAAGCCGAACATGCACCAGGAAGAGTGTAGGCGTTTCTGCCAGGAGGTGGCCAACGCTTTCAGCCATGTTTGCAACAAGTTCTACATCGCCAAGACGGGGGGGAAGCTGGAGGCGCACACAAAAATGCTTGGGGTGGCAATGGGGCTGCAGCCTGGCAGGGCAAGCCCAAGCACAGGAGAGAGCAAAAAACGCGCCGACAGCAGCTCCGACATAGAGATGAACCCTCCAAAATCTTCCACGGCCGCCGCGTCGTCCAGCGCAGATGGGGGCAGCAGGCGCAATGTCATCAAGAACGCCTTCGGCATCAGCCCGCCTCCGAAACCGGCAGGGAAGAAACAGAAGGTTGCCACGTGGAGCCCGATGGTGGTGTTCTCGTCGCAGGAGGACGTCGAGCTCGCTGACCCGCCCGCCGCGGCCCCGAAGGAGGATCGGAGGGGGCGGGCAGGGTGGGGGGGGGAGAGGGGCAGTTTTGATTTTTCACGGCGTAACCGAACCCCTTCGGGAGGGGAGCTCGGGAGGGGCAAGTGAGAGACCCGCCCCAGGATCCCCTGGCCACGTATTTCGATTTCAACTCCGAGCCGATGTGCATGGTGATGAAGTTCGCAGACAGGGAGGAGCGGGGAACACTGACGAAAGGAGGCGATGGTTTCTTGGATGCCGTGTTTCCCGACGGCAGGACGGAGAAGACGGAGCAGCCCAACGCCCTCCTGGCAGCAAGAGCGGCAGCCGCGCAGGCGAAGGCGAAAGCGTGCAAAAAAGGGAAGCCAGCAGGACATGTAGTGGCAAAGAAGCCTGCAATGAGAAAGCCCAGTGCAGCCGCCGCGAACACGGAGACGGACCAGGACGATGAGGGGGAGGAGGAAGAGCAGCTGGAACCCGATGAGCCCGTGGATGCTGCAGATGAGCCCTCGGTCGGCGCTGGGCCCCCCGCTGGCCACGCCGACCGCGGGTACAGCGTGATGTACTACAAGAGGGACCACTCTATCGGGTTGAAGGAAGCGGACGCACGGTGAGAAGAACCAGTTTGTGAGTTTCGGCGGGAAAAAGTACAAGGACACCTTGGACGAGGCCACGCTCAGGGAGATCGGCGCAGAGCTGAAGAAGGCCTTGGTCGGCGGCACCGTGGCTGACACCAAGGAAGCTGCTAAGGCGGAGGCTGAGCGCTTAGTGGCACAGCGCTTGGGCGACTAATCGCATCCATCCTCATCATCGCATCCATCATCATCATCATCCTTACCGTCTTCATCGCCATTGCCATCGCCATACCCGTTGGCAGAGCGCCCTCTCCAGAGCTAGACGACACCCCCTCATCGCAGGGGCGCCCCTCCGTGAGGGGACCGCGCGATGGATTGGCGAGTGATGGAACCCCTTAAGAGGGGAACCCCTTAAGAGGGGCTTCAGCACACTCGCGATAAGACAGGGCAACGGCCCCCTCCAAGAGGGGACCCCTCGGGGAGGGGATCAAAGGTGCGGCAGTCTGCTTACTCATTATGTGTATGGCATTGCGTCTCCTCCTCGTTCCACCCCTCCCCCATTTGCTTTCATGTTCTGCATCCGCAACCGTTCGACAGAGCTGACGCCCAGCGCGCTGGGGGGCCAGCCCCCCGCCCCGAGCTCGCGGCCATGCGGGCGCTCATCGTGTGCCTCTCGGCGCTCCAGGCCGCGCGGAAGCAGAATGCAAGGGGGGAGTTGGGGCAGGATGAGGAGAAAAGTACGAGTGACGGCCACTTGTTTGGCCATCTGGGCGATAAAAAATCAATCCAGCAGCCGAGTTTTAGACCCACCTTTTTTAGCAAAAAAAGGGGGGTCTAAAATTGGACGAATTCCTATGAAATTCCATTGCATTCACCCCCCCGAAGGGCCTCCCACGAGGCCCCCAGATTTTAGCCTTTTGAGTCTGACTAAAAACTTTCGGCCGCAACCGTTCTGGACCCCGGGCTTCCGGCATG